GGGAAAGAACCCTTTTTTTTTAAGGGTTTACGTGTACTTTTAGTGAGGACACTTAGTGTGGCCTAGTGGTGTTAGCACAGGCAACAAAACACGGCCTGTCCCCCTCCCCAAAACCAGTGAAACAACACACGCCGCTGCTGGCGATTGGGTCCCAGCAGCGGCCAGTAAACACAGACAGCGGCTCAAAGTGACACGTGTGAATTACAGCGACGCTCGCTTTTTTGTCTTCGCCGGCGGTCACGTTAAAAACACGTTTCGTCGATTGAAAGTGATGACAAATAATAAAATTAAAAAAAAACACACACACGAGCGAGGAGCTCAAACTCACACAGAAGCGACCCACTAACGCGGTTTGAGACATTAGTGATCTGACCTACGAGGACGCGAATGTGCCGCCGGGCTCGTCGCGTTGACGTGGGCTGCAGGACGGACGGACGCCCGCGAGCCCGTATCATGTTATACACACGCACAAATCCCGGATTACGGCTTTAAGTAGCCGGTTAGTCCCAATGCTAGCTAACACCAGATCTGATTAACTAGCTGGCTGACAGTTGCCATCGACACATCACAGCCAATGCTAGCTACCGTCGCGTCGGGCTAACGTCCGAGAGAGAAAAAAAACCCCGTCAAAAACGTGCTAAAGTCGAGACAAACTAGCGCGAATTCAACTGGCGGGGACGCGGGCACCGCGTCGGGTGTTTAGCGAACGTGCGAGGCTCAGAAGTGAGGCGGCGCGTCCAGTAGAAAAGCCCCCCGTAGCGCGGATTACTGGCTAGCTCAACCCCCCACCCCCCCGAGCTAACGCTAGCTAGCGAACTTGCTAAAAACTTTGACTGTGACACGTAGCCGCTGGGCTACATGTAGCACGGCTCACTCCAACACAACTTCGAGCCACGCCGCAGACACACAACGGCGTTAAGCCAGCGGCGGATTGAACGCGTGAACCGTGTAATAACCCCCCACACACACACACGCGTGGGTTGTGTCTTTTCTGCACTGTAGCACGCGCTAACACGGCGGTAGAAAAGAAAAAAAGTACAAGTTGGAAGTGTAGCATTAGCCGGCGAGCTCGCGTTAGCCTACGGTTTGTTCTACTAGCCGGCTAAGTCCACGTAGGCATACAGCTGAGCAGGGGAGAGCTGACACGGAGTCAGGCCAGAACACACTGTGCCGCTAACAAACTCCCACCCCGACCAGTGCCACAAATGCCACCAGTGCCGTGGACACCAACGGGGTGAGGGGGGGGGGGAGGAAACGCGTAGCGTCAACGCGGCGGCATTCGGCGGGCGACCGGGAGTACTTACTTATTTTATGTTCTCGTCTGCCCTAAAGGTGCAGGAGCTGAGATGAAATTCCACTGGCGAGAAGGTGGGATTGAAGGCTGGCGGATATATACCAGTGCCGCCCACCAATCACATCCTCCAACGTCACGTCAAAGAGTCCGATTACAAATCATTTATTTTCATATCCAACAGTTGCAGATCTGTTGAACCGCTCGAGCATTTTGTTTACATGGCGCAGTGTGTCGTAAGATTTAAAAAAAAAGCGCGTTTTTCGTCGTGTTGGCCTGTTTGACCGGAGCTGGATCACAGATGCGTTACAATCTACAGGACAGTGTTGATGTACAAAAAAACAGAGACCAGATGAGGTGTCAAACTCAGTCTTTATTTATTATTAATAGCATATTTCAACATTGGATCATTTCTCAATGTCTTTTCAGACTTTAATGAGATCAGATAAAGGATGAGCCCATGTCCTCCTCCTCCTCCTCCTCCTCCACCTTTAAGGTTATTAAGCAGGCTCCCAGTGTTGTTACCGTGAGTTGTGACACAGCAATATGCACATGCCAAACGATCCCACAGTTTCCTTATCGAGGACAACGTAGGCCTGTGCAGAAACACTGCCACAGGTTCCCAGAGGCTGCATCCTCAGCTGCTTCTTTATGGATACACTACAGCACAAAGTAACACAGCCAGTGGACTGCTAAACACGCGTACACAAATAAATGCCCCTTACTTTCGAGCTCAAAACATGCAATTATGGATAAAAGTCACGGATGGATTGGTGAGCGGCCCTTCACCTGCTTAATGTTACTCAAAGAGACACGTAACAAGCAGGTAGGACATTGAAATGCTCAAAAAGACCCACAATGACTGCAAAGAGACACAAAAAAGACCAAAAAAACCTCTAAAGAGTGACGCAGGGACACAAAGAAACTGTAAAGAGACTCAAAAAGTGGTGACATTCACACACAAAAAGTATTTAGGCAGGTGCAAATTCCAAATGTCATTTAAAATTTAAAATTCAGTTTAAGTGAAGTTAAATCTATTTTCTGAAATCATGTTTAGGCTCTTATAGGCTCTCTGGTACATTTAGATGCGCTGCAGTGTACATCGGCAGGTGATGAGAGCCACGAGAAAACGTTGAAAGCTCCTGCAGAAATCTATTATGGTACTAGAGATTGCAAAAATGTTTTGCCAAGTAAAGAAAGAACCTTATAGCTCACTTTCATTCATGTTTTTTACAAGAAGATTTATAGATTTGTTATATAGCCTTATTCTACTAACCCATAGCATTAGCATTTTATTTTATTACTTGTGCACTGTTGTCTTGTTGTCTATTGTGATACTGTCTGCTGTCACGCACCAACCGCCAAGTCAAATTCCTTGTATTTATGGCATATTTTGGCAATAAATGTTTCCTGATTCCTGATTCAGAGTAAGGATACAAACAGGGTGAACCGGTGAGTAATGACGATCCATAAAAACAATCACCAACATACTCTATCATCACTTTGGGGTAAAAATGTTTTGGAGATAAACAACTTTGTGTTTGCTTTATCTATCGTATATAATGTATTTGAGTGATATTATCCATTATAACATTATAGTGGATATATGCCCATTATATGTGAGTCTGTGGACTTAGTGGAGGACTAGAAGTACCTGGGTGTCTCCATCAACTGACTGAACAGGGAGGCCAACGTGGACGCTGTGTAGAAGAAGGCGACGCGTCGCCTCGTTTTCTTGACAAAACTTCAATCCTTTAACGTGAGCAGCAAGATGTTGGATGTGTTCCACCAGTCTGTTGTGGCCAGTGCTCTGTACTTCGCCAACGTCTGCTGGGGGAGCGACCTTGGAGCTGGTCACTCCAACAGACTGAAGAAGCTGGTGAAGAAGGCCGTCTCCATCGATGGCTGCCAACGGGAGCGTCTAGAACGTGTGGTGGAGAGGAGGACTGAAAACATGGACCACCCTCCTCACCGCCTACTGCAGGGACAGCGGAGCTCTTTCTCCAACAGGAGAAAAGGACAGATACAGGAAAAAATTCCTGCCAACTGCAATAAGAATTTACAACAAATCACCTGTGGCTAAATCCCTTTTTATTTGAACTATTACTAATAACCACTGCACTGCTGTTTTAATTTAATTTAATATCAATGACCATTTCACTCCTTTTCACTAACTATACTACATTTACTCACATACACAGTATATACTTGTATTTTTGTGCACTTATTTTTGTATCATTTCTTTTTCCTATTTAATTTAATATGGCCTGCTCTGTTATTTTATTGCATATATATTGTGCATTTTTGATTTCAGATGTAATATTAACTATATTGCTGCTGCTACAGACAAATTTCCCCCTGAGGATGAATAAAATAACCATATATCTATCTAGCTATTTTAATATAATGGATATAGTAGCACTATAGTCTACAGCCACAAAACGTTCGACATGGACATCTCTCCGACACGCTGTCAGCAAAGAATTATAACACCGCCTTTGTGAATTACACTGCACACACGTTGCTGTTTTTGTGTCCACCCAAACACACGCATCGATGTCCTGACTGAAACACACATCCATCGGAGTAATTTCATCACACCGGGGCACTGTGGGGGGGTGCGGAGCCCTTAGAAGATAATGCCAGGTGATCAGATCAGTCCAGACTCCATTATCGGAAACCAGCTTTATCTTTCACCTGCAAAAAACACCATCACACATATTGACGAAACAATAGCCGTGATGCATTTCTAACAACAGATCAACAAGTCAATGACACAAGTAGGTTTTGACAAGCGCATCATGTGACCATCTATCAGCAGGACCAAAAAGGACGAGTACTTTGCAGAAATTCAGCAGATAAGAAGCCCCGTGATGGACCAACGACCTTGCCGATGCACTGCTTTCATTCCACTGCACAAATCAAGTTCTTTGTGGTCATCCAGCAAAAGGAAAGTTAATAGTTTATAGTAGTTTAAACTGTAAAAAAAAAACACTTTTCCACAGCATGTGAAGAACATAAATAATATGCACGAACAATTGAGATATACCTACAAATAGCTTTCTTCACATATAATATATACAATATAATATAAAAGGGTAAAAGGCTAGCACATATAGTTCATTATGAGATATATGGGTTGTATCTGACCGCAGACATAAGGTGTAATGCATCTCTGTTCGATGTGCCAGAGGGGACAGCAGGGGGCGCTGCATCATCACGCTCTTCAGATGTGATGGCGATAAAGTTCGATCGGACTCTTATCCAACAAAACACGGCCCAAAGTGCAAATATGTGCATCACACCCCGCATGATTGATGTGAACAAGCTCTGAAGCGTTTATACTCAGAGGAGCCTCGTGACACGTGCACGCACACACACACAATGTCCTCAGAGATTAAAGGTGTACCTTATGCAGTGATTTTAAAGGGTAAAGCGAAAAAAGAACATCTTCTTCGCCATAGATTTTTAACAAATACCGCACTATCTACGGGGCAAAGTGTAGCCTAAACTCAACTAAAGGCCTCGTCGCTTTGTGAGTCGAATCAGATAAAAAAAAAAAAAACAATCAGCTAAAATAATCGTTTTTCTTATTTCCTCCTGGGTGTTGACAACCACCCGCCCGTCGATTCAACGCACACCATTTAAACTTTCCACGACGGCTCGCTACAAAAGCCACGGCGTGTAATGGTTCGGGGCGGTCGGCGCATCCATCGGGGCTATTTAAAGTCAGGGAAGGCAAATCTCCAGCCGCACCGCCCACAATCCTCGGCCACGTCCCAGCCAATGGGAGCACGAGAGAGTCCGCCCCAGCCAATGAGAGACGAGCCCGAGGACGCACTCCGTCGGCAGAAGGCGACCGTGGCGTGGAGCGGTGTCCTCCGCGCTGTAACAAACCTTTAAGTTAACGTTTAGTTTCGATACGGACGGTAAGTGTGTATCGCCACTTTGCGGATACGTGTTTCCCTTCTAGGGAGCGTTAGCGCGGCTACTTTTAACGCAGACTCTGCTGTGCGCATCAATGTTTCCTTTCGCTGCACGTCTGGATACCAACAACGTTGTGAACCGAGCGCGATTTCTCGGGGGGCAAAAAGAAAAGAAAAGAACTTCGTTTTCCCTTCGCCTCCCCGGAGTCCGGTAACCACCTCGTTCTACGTCCAGCCGACCCACGCAGGCCCAGACGTAACGCGTAGCGTTGCGCGTGCTCCGTCGTTCCTGGGTTTGGACCCTCGCTCCCGTTGGACACCTCGGCCGAAGACTTTGGTCTCCGGCGTGTCCCCGCTGTGTGCGCGCGCGTGTTACACCTACAACCGCTTGTCCCGTAACGTGTAGCACGCAGAAGTTGTCCTACGACACCCAAACCGCTCCATGACGCGTGTACCCGCCCGGGGCTCAGCGGGGCACTACTCTAACCACGCAATATTCCTCGTGTTTCTTCCACCTAAAAAAAAAAAAAAAAACTCACTTATTTCCACAATGCTCTGTCCTCGCCGTGTTGTTGCAGGAGTGAGGCGAGCGAGGGCGGGGAGCTGCTGTGAGGCAGAACATGGGGGACCTCGAGGGTTCATACCGGGCCCTGCAGACCCCCGGCGTGCGGCTGGGAGCGCAGTTCAACCCCGGCGTCAGCACGCTGGAGCCGGGCCACAGCCTCGGCGGCACCCCGGCCGGCAGGAGCCCCGGCCGAGAGCTGCAGATCCGTGTGCAGGGCCTGGACGACTCCCAGGAGTTCTTCAATGTCGACGTAAGTGCCGCCGGGACTGTTGCGCAGTGCGTGCGTGCGTGTGCGCGTCTTACGTGCTCTCCTGTTGACACCCTTCACACGGTGGCGGTGCGCTGCACAGCGGGCGGCGCCTGGCCCGGGACACCGCGAGGGTGCGAGTGGCTTGCGTTCGGTGACAGCTGCCACATGCCAGATGCCAGATGCCACAGGTGCTGAAATGTTTCCATCTTAAGGAGTCTTATTTCGGTAACTTTGTGTAACTCACCAGGGTACTTTAAAAAAGAAGTGTTATTGGCTGTCACCATAACTCAAGTAGTGGTTAAGTACTTTCTGTTCGGGGCTTTAGGCCGGCAAGAAGGAAAATAATATGGCCGTCCAGCATTCGAGCTTGTTTATATTCAGAATTGAATTGAATTTGTTCCGGTCCAAGCGTTCAGCGTTTTTTCATCCGCTTGTGCTATTTTCTGCAATAGCATCCCAGTACTTGCTGGTTATTTGGCTTTTCTTATGACTTAAATAGCGATGAAGCTGGCAGAAAGAACCGTGTCTCCCAAATGTGGGTTTCCCCAGCTCAGCCACAAAATAATTCTTAAAAAAAAGAAAAGCATTGTAGAGAATACACCAGAACGTTGCAGTAATTAACCACCATTAACATCAATCTTGGCAATGAAGTGCGACCGCTTCCCTGTTGCTTTTCATTATAATGACTTTACAAAATTAATCCTTTTTAAAAACCTTTAAAAAGGTTGACTGTTTGTTTGGGGAAAACTTTTTAGCTCCATCCCGTTGAAGGGCCTTTTGATGTTGGCATGCCAAGACGCCGCTGGACTCATTCACGAGGCAAATAGGATGCAATAAGGAAACTACTCTGTCAGAGCAAGTTTCCTGTCAGTTTTTGAGTCTGTGTTGGGGGGAGGAAGGGGGAGGGGGGCAGTAGTATCTGCATGAATTCCCCACATTGAATAAACACACAAGTCAGTGACTGATCAACGCAGGACCGTGATACAGATCTTGACTTATGGGCCACCAGTTCCACTAAAAGTTGGTGTATTTAACTTGTGCACCCACTCTGTCCTAAATCCTTTCCTAATCACGACACTAACTGTTCCGGCAGATGTAGTCTGGGGGCACTGCTGAGACGGACCTTTCATAATCTTATGCACCATATGTTGTCTCGAAGTCTTAGTCTAATAGAAGGCGAAGTTTGAATTTGTATGGCAGCGGCTCCCTGCTCGGCTCGGAGGAGAATCAACTTCTTAGTTGTTATCTAATTTCTTCGGGTCAATTATAGGAAAATGTTCAGCCCACCAAACTTGACCCCCGGAGAGTTTAAAGTCTAGGCTGTGGACATCGGTGATGACAGGAGCTGGCAAACAAAACGGTGGGGGGGCGGCAATCCTGTTGTCAAGCAGACTGTAGTTTTTCCGGGGACAAGATGGCCTCTGAGAGGCTCTGTTGTCTACCGTCCGTGGACGTAGCTGTTATTTATACAGAAAGGTCTGTGGGCTGTCGGGAGAATGGTGTTTCTGTCCGTGCACCGTCTCCACAGAACCGCTAACGTGAGTCCTTTTCACAGCTGCCTGTGTGCTGTGTGTCGTCAGTACTTTTCTTGTTGTTTACGTCAATCCACAGTACCCTTTTCAAGAAAATTCATTGTGATAGTACAGTAGATTCCCCTCATGCATGCATGCATGCATGCATGCATTCATGCCGTATACGATACTAAATTGCAGAGTTCAAAGGTTGTGGCCCCCCGGCGAGCGCCTCCTCTGATCCTGGTGGTTTGATTGCTCAGCTGCCTTGTTCGTTTGAGTATTTATCGTCCGTCGTTACCTCTCCTTGCCGGCCGGCCTTTGCCGAGCTTTCTGCTTTCGCACCTGCAACACGCAACGAGCGGGTCACTGCATGGGCGTGTTTTATTTAAAAAATTTTTATTTAATACAAGCGTTCGCCGCCTTGCAACGTCTTGAGTTCAATCGCATCAGAGCGGCTTTGATCCACGCCCCCCCCTCTATGCCGCAGGTACCGGGCACGTTTGTCATCATCCAGCAGACATTTGCTCTCGCATGGCTCTCGTCATGCTCGGGGCTCCTCCCCGCTGCCAGCAGCACAGGAGGCAGCGCTGTGGTGTTTCTGGACAGGGGAGGCCGGGCCCGGGCATGGCAGGGGAAACACAGGCTCCTTTTATCCAGCAGCAGCCAGCCCCCCCCCTTTCTTCTTTAGCCGGGGCCCTAACGTCCAGCTCCAAACTCCCAAATGAAAAAGGGCCTGGCGTCCGGACTTGGAACCGCGGCTGTGTGAAAGCGCGGTACAGTCGGGAGAGGTGTGGGGGAGAGATCCAGGGGGAGGTGGGGAGGGGTGTAGGCTTTTCTTTGGTGTTAGCAAACAAGCGCATAAGTAGAGTGGTTGACAACCAAGTGGGTTGCTGCTGTGGGTTGGAGGGGGGGGGGCACAGCGCCTGGTGTTAAAAGAGCAGCTCTTCAGAGGGGACTTGTGGCCAGTATGGTGTTTGAGTGAGAGTGCTGGGGGAGGGGACACACACACACACACACAGAAGCGGAGCCCTGCTAAAAGTTTGGAATTTCAGCCACTGGCCTGCAGCACAATCCATTTTTATTTTTTACAAAGCTCATGCATGTGCTGTTTTTAATCTTTATCTGTTTGTTGAAGATGGACATTTGGACTGGATGTTGTTGTTTACGTTGCTGAAATATTTCTCTTTTAAGCATCCTGCAGCGTTTTTGAAAGATAAAGTAATATCAGACTAGTGGGGTCCTGAGAACAGACTTGGGCCTCTGCTTTGTGTCGTCAAAGGCGCCTCTCGCTCTTCACTGCCACCTCTCGTTCCTGTTCATAAAAGGACTTTCACGTGGTCTCTCTAACGATTATTGTCCGATGTCGTATTTCGCTGTTGAGCTACCACTCCCACCTGTAATCTTTTTTTCTTTTGGGTGATCAAAAGATTTGTGTGGAAAATATCTGTGTTGCACAGGTGAGCTGAGCAGGAGGCACACCCACCAGATCCCAATTAACACCGTGCAGCTGCCAAAACGAACCCTCCCGCTCAGGTGTGTCCCAACAAAACTTTTTTCCCAAGTCCTTGACAAGTTGAGAAAAGCACCAGAGGACCGGTTTATCTGTGCGACCGCTCCTCGCTGACTCGTGAAAAAGGTCACCAGTGTGCCGGCTTTTCAAGACATGTTCTGCTTGATTTGCCCCCCCCCTTGCTCCGAATGAAAGCCCAACACTCCCCTCCCGTCAGTGGGCGGTCCTCTCCGAGCCCGACTGCCACTCAGTCAGAGCACCACTCGAGGCGTATCAACCGTGATCTAAACCTGTCGTGTGAGCTCCGCCCGAGGCCTCGATGGGAAATCGAAGCCGGGGGACGCTGGGTCACCTGCGCTCATGTGTGTTGCTTTCTGTACATGAGAAGGGTAGCCGCCGCCCCCCCCCCCCTAAAAGCTGCTTTCAAACCCTCTCTCTCGCACACACACAATGAGGGGAAGATCCGTCTCCCAGAGAAACATCTGTTGGTGATAATCCCTGAGCTTGGGTGACCCGCTGACCGGCCTCAGCGATGGCGCTCAGATGAGACTGAGGCTTCGTGTTTATTGGTCACAAACCGGGAGCCTTCTACTGCGTCTCGGACTGAAGAACACCGGGTGGACTTTAGGTAGCAGCTCACTGGATTTCACAGCTGAACGCCTTTAGGTAAATCTTGGTGGAAGAAGGGTCAGGTGACTACATTTGTATGCATAATTCGTTATATGATATATATGAAATTTAAAAAGATGGACACCTGTAAAAGGTACACAGGTATTTTTAAATTTGTAAGTCAACAGCCCGTTGTATGCATTGGCCGTTTTATATGATATCCTTTGCACGTTTAGCGCGTTGACTTAGTCACCAGCCATTATTTCTCCTCTCGATTGCAGAAATGCAGGCATGTTGTAAAGGGCGGTGCACCGCCGCTGATGCCTCACGCAGATAAGCAAACACGGTGAGGGGGAAGTGGTGTGAGGAGATACGGTGTAGAAACTCTTAGAAATAGAACCAGCTAGATAATTAAAACTTTTTGTATGTTGACGCATGAAGACATGTGTGGCATTTATTCATAACAGTGGAGCGGCATGTCTTTTCTTTTCATTTGTTTTCAATCCGCCACTCATAAATTGTGAGAGATAAGGGATTTCTCGGAAGAGTGCCGGGAAGACGGTTCCACGTCCCTGCAAAGGGTTAATGAGTAACACAAAGGGGGGGGGGACACTCAACGTGGGGTAAAAAAACTGTTTATTCTTATCTGCCTTCCTTCATGTTCTATTGACGAACCAATAACTTTTATACATATCTTTAAAACAAATTTAAGAAAACAAAGGTGGCTACATTTCAATTCCATATTCAGGTCTGTTGGGTGGTTTTAGCGTGCCGTAAATCTGCTGGAGGAGGTGAACGTTGAAGGAGAGAGTACAGCTAATTGGGCGGGAATCTCTATCCACACGGGAGATAAGAAACGCGTGCGCTCCGTGCACGTCCACACGGACTCTCTCAGTCGAGTGGACGTTCACGCCGCTCTCCTGAACCAGTCGCAGCGAGGCGGAGGCCCTTTCAAAACAAAGGTTCCCCTCATTTGGCGGCTGATACGTTTGCTGTCGCCGCCCCGGAATCTGACGTCTGGCTCGCGCTCTGAGGTCGGGCCGTTCTCACACGGTGTAATAAAGACGTGCACGGAACAGCAGATTCCTGGATTCATGCACGTTGTGTCGGAAGCTCTCACCTCTTTTGCGTGTGAAGCAATGAAAAGACCAAACTACAGTAAATCTGCCGCGGCTCTTTGAGAGGTAATCTTTTCCTTCAGCCATTGCAAAGCGGTTCTATTTTTATTTATGCCCTTTTTAAAAATACTATTTTACATTACAACCAGATGTTTCAGGCTATAATTCCCCTCCCTCTCAAAATAAAAGTCACGAGGCAGGACTTCAAAACCTCAAGTGCAGTGTGTTCTTAGTACGTAGCAATTAGCTCGTCGTTTAGTGAAAACAAACCCCACAGCGGATGAGAAGGTAAACTCTGCTAGATTTCCTGCTGGCCATTTTACTGCCCCGCGTTTTTTTTAATTGTACAGAGGGACTTTTTTTAGCAGTGTACTTGCTCATCCAGAAACCATTTGAACTGATAGATGGAGAAAAAGCAGCCGTCAACACACAAAGTGGATCGTTTACAGATGCTGAATATTTCCTGCACCCCACATGCAGACGGAGCGTCACACCAGCATGGCCGCCCTCATTTATTTCATGTCGCTGTCCATTAATCACCAATGTGGTTTATCAGCTGTAATCTTCTTTTTATGCTTGAAACTGTCCGTATATTGAGGTTCTAAGTGGTCTCATCAGTGGGCTTTTCACTCCCATGTGTCTGCACGGAAATGAAAATAACAATTCTTATTTTCTGTTTTTCAGACAAAGGCTCTTGGACAGTACCTCCTCTCTGAGGTTTTCTTGAGAGGGAATCTCATAGAGCGGGATTACTTTGGCCTGGAGTTTCAGAACTTGCAGATGAACTGGGTGAGTGCGTTGGCGGCTGACATGTCGCCTGCCTCAGGAGCACGCTGGTTTCTTTTTTTTAAACGTTACAGCTTCTGCTGCAGCCTCTTCAGTCATTTCTCAGATGCGCTTCTTGTAACTTCGGCGATGTAGTATTGTTTTTACTGGACCCAAACGGTATATAATAGAGGGGTATTTTTAACTCGTCTGGCACGAGCACCCTATACACAAATGTCAGACTTTCCAGCGTTTCATTCCGCCAGAAACGTAAGTGGAATTTAAGACCACCCCATTACTTTTTTGTAAAGCAATACAACTCTGAAAACGGTGTGTATCTTTCTCAGAACTGCATTTTAGATATTGTATTCAGCAACATTAAGAAGCCACACCATATAATTAATAAATATAAATATATATATATATATCTCTCAATTTGAATGCATCTTACTTTTGAAGCTGTGTTTTTCTTTTAGATGTCTGCTTGCCACATATCCGAGTAGAGTCGGCCCCAAAAAGGCCTACGTTAGTGTCAGGTGTGGCGGCTGGTACCTTGACTGTAGCCAGCTGCTGATGTCACAGGCCTAAAAATGTAATACATTTTTAATAAGATGCCAAGAAGCATTTTTATACCTCAAGTCTGTGTTTTTGGTTTTATGCCTGAATTAAAGAGTGTGGCGAACACAAGCTGGAAGTATTGTTCCGTTTTGTTCAGCCATCTAAATGAATGTGAAGTCTTTGAAAGGCGGTCGCTATCGCGAGACTGCAAAGCTTCATCCGACCAAACTCCTCAGCTCGTCATCACTGAGCCGCTCTATTACGCTACATGTCCGTCTGCATGGAGCACATTCCTCTCTGAATCAGGCCCAGATTTAACAGAGCAGGCCGACTTCAAAGTCCCCCCCCCACATTCATTCATCATCCAGATCCTGACAAAACGTACAACAGTTATGCATTATGGGAGCCATTAACAGTGCGCCCGGTAACAGGCGTGAAAACGAGAATTTTTTCTACAAATGATGAACAATGATGAAGATAACTAATATTTCTTTCTCTTCAGGCTTGGCTGGAACCCACCAAACCCATAGTGAGACAAGTCCGGAGTAAGTGAGCTTAAATGTTAGCGTGAAGTCTGAAAGTGAATCTGTGCGCTGATGAGCTCGTGTTTTATTTATTTTCAGGGCCGGCAAATGCGCTTTTCAGGCTGTCTGTGAAGTTCTTCCCTCCAGACCCGGGTCAGCTGCAGGAGGAGTACACCAGGTCACTGACTGTAATTTCCTTCTGGATATTGCCCTTATCTCCTGCCTGTGTTGAGGGGCTTTAGAAAATAGTGGTTCATCTTTTCTTTCTTTTTCAGAAGGTCTCGATTACGGTTTTCAGACCATCGTAGCATTTGTTCTTCCTAAAATGTTAATGAAATTCTTTAAGTGCTTTGCTGCAGTCAGTGCAGTGTCAATGCACGAGTTCAACTGAGGAGTTTGTTTAGTGAAGATCTCTCTTTACTTCTCATGAACAAAAAGGCTTTTTTTTTTTTTTTTTAAATTCTGTATATCTTGTATCTCTATAGGTACCTGTTCTCGCTGCAGATGAAAAGAGATCTGATGGAATCCAGGTTGATCTGCACAGAAAATACCGGAGCCCTGCTGGCCTCTCACCTCGTCCAGTGTACGCTCTTATGCTTAGTTTGTTATTTCACTGATGCATTAGGCTGTTTTAGCTGGCTGACGCTAATGTAGTGGGACTCCAACTCCAAGAAAAAGGCACATTTATCTAATTTAATCAAATGTTCACATTAATAAATGACTATTGATGTAGAACTAATGGTCAAAGTAAGAGCGCCTTGCTCGCTCTCTGCTTGTACCGTGGCGCTCTCCGCAAAGCTGACGCGTCTCTCTTCCGCAAACCACAGCGGAGATTGGCGACTACGACGACGCGGCGGACCGGGACTTCCTTAAGTCGACCCAGCTGTTGCCGTATCAAGAGAAGGTGCAGGAGCGGATCATGGAGCTGCACCGACGGCACCTGTAAGTGGCTCCTCTCCAATCTCCCCCCCCCCGTCCTTTCCGAACTGTCCCTTTGCCTTCATCGGGAAAATGCCATGATGTTTGAGGTAAGATGCAAAGTAGGGTTCACCAGGACCCTTGCAAAGAACAAAGACTGCAGATGCACTTTTTAAAATCGCAAATAGGAAGTGAGCACCGCGACAGAGCTGCCGATTCCCGTGCAGCAACAAAGATGTTCATAATCAATCAGCAGCACACTGCAAAGGGAATCATTGTCGTTGACCTTTGAATGGTGCGTCTTTAATGCCGCTGCCGTAGGGAATTCTGTGTTTGAACTCCTTTTCACTTAAAGGATGGTCCGGTGTACCCAACGCTAAAGGAATTAATTAAGCCCCTTTAGCATTGAGAGAATTCAACCCCTTGGATAACATTATTAATAATAAGGAAGGGAAAGAAAAAAGCCACTAATACTTACGTCGTGTGGAGCTCGAGCTGCGGGATGGAGAGTAAACCAGTTGAATTAAACTAAAGCGTAATCTGGCTTTCCTTTAACCTCAGTGACAAAGTGATTCCTCTTCCAGCTGTTACTGCTGCACATTTATAAACCGCACATCGTTTCAACCGACGGCGAACAGACCAGCCGATTGTTTCCGCTGCGGATTTTCCGCATTTCTTTCTAGTCTCTAAGAGATGACCCGTAAAAGCACTGCTGCACGATTATATTTCTGTAACCAGGATGCGTTTGTCAGCACTGCTGTGGTGGTTCCACTACCTCGCAGGTTTCTTCTATGACCTTCCAAGGAAAGAAGGAAATGACAAGAGACACACAAGTGGTCCTAAAAATGAACGCTGCTCTCTTCCCCGTTGAATGTAGCGCAAGTCTCATTCTTATTCCAGAGGGTTCCTCACAGGAATAACAATGTGCTAGAATGCGCGCACAGTGGCACGTTGTCTTTTATTTGTTTTATATGCATTCAAACACAAACTGCGACGCGGTGACCAAGCTTAGAAAACCCTGTTGGTGTTAAACAGCCGTAACAAGGGAAAGTTTGCTCCATCTCCCAAAGATGGAGAGCCAGAGCCTCCCAAAACCCGCTGGCTGCACTTCTCCCACCGCCGGCCTCGTCGCTGGGTCCGCGCTGCTCTGTGGCCAATGGGAGCCTCCTTTCAGCCCGGCGTGTAAAGACCTTTTGCTAATCTCTTCCCATGAAGCACAGGCGGCGAGTTCCCTCGGCCTAATCCCCTTCTCCGGGCCGGCTCTATTAGCCATAAGGCCAGTGGGGCGGGGGAGGGCTCTAAGGAGATTTCCAGTGCTTAACAGATGAACAAAATTAGAATGTGGTGATGATTGGATGGATAGGTCTCCCTAGCACACTGTTTGGTTGTAATCCTGTGGTTTTAAATAAATCCTAGAAGTTGTGAGGGATTTGAGGACACGCCGCAAGCGAGTCGCGCTGTAACGTCTTTGTTTGAGCTCAAAGAGGCAGCGCGTTGTTGACACGTGGTTCTGTAACTACAAAACCCGCAATTTGGGGAACACTATAGTTTTACTGAACTCATCTAAACGAGGGAGAATCCCACAGAATCTTTCAGTTTTGGTGGCGCGTTTGACAAAATTAGTCTTTTAAAATATGCTCCTGCAAAAGACAGAGAAGTGATTAATTTAACCAATGCCCACGTCCCAGTTGGTTATTCTGAAGGAAATCCCTTGTTTTTTAAATTCTTGTTTTTGGTTTCTCTGACGGCAAAGTTGTTCATTTATTTATGCAGCACATTTTATAGTTGCATAATGAAATATAAATCAGATATGTTGGATAGAGATGGAAGCACAAGACTTGTAAATCTAGTTGGGTTGTCTAATAACATTTGTAAAAGTTACGAAAACATGCATATAATGCAGTTCAGAATCATAAGTCACAGATCCCTTTTACTTTTATCTCTGTAGTTTTTTTTTAATACTTTTAAAAAAAATCTGATTTCTTTGCTGTATTTGTTGAGAAAATCAGTAGTGATTTATCAAACTGTGGGTTCTCTGCAAAATCACAATACCTAACTTCCTTGTTCAGTATATTTGTTTTAACTGGGACTTTAGTTTAATATAAAGGAAAAAATATTGTTGCTTAGTCTTGAATTTATTTATTTTTGTTCACTCCAGCGGCCAGACTCCCGCTGAATCAGATTTCCAAATCCTGGAGATTGCGCGTAAACTGGAGATGTACGGCGTCCGCTTCCACCCAGCGGCCGACCGGGAAGGCTCCAAGATCAACCTGGCCGTTGCTCACATGGGCCTTCAGGTGTTTCAGGTGAGCATCGCTTCCCCCCCTGCCAGCTGCATCTGGCGGGCGTGACCCTCAGGCCCTTAACATGTGGCTAAAGGTTGTTTCTTTCCGCTTGCATTTCTCCCAGGGCAACACCAAAATAAACACCTTCAATTGGTCCAAGATTCGCAAACTGAGCTTCAAGAGAAAGCGGTTCCTGATCAAGCTCTACCCGGAGGTTCACGTACGTATATAAACTAACCGTAACTCTTCACATCCACCCGAAAAGGGGCCGGTGTACAATGTCTGTCCTTCCCTGTGGGCTTTCAGGGGCCCCATCAGGACACGCTGGAGTTCCTGATGGCCAGTCGCGACCAGTGTAAGATCTTCTGGAAGATCTGCGTGGAATACCACTCGTTTTTCCGCATGTTCGACCAACCCCAGCCCAAATCCAAAGCCATCCTCTTCACCAGAGGCTCTTCCTTCAGATACAGGTATCCCATACGCACGGTGGACAAAGGTGCAAGTCTCACAAAGCGTGTTTCCATTTCATTGAAAACTCTGTCCCGTCAGTGGACGGACCCAGAAGCAGCTCGTCGACTACGTCAGGGAAAGCGGTGCGAAGAGAACTCCGTACCAGAGGTGAGTGTTCCTGTACAGCGTCTGCGCACGGCGAGGCCGCCGACTGACAAATGTTTTCCACGTTGCGTTCGTGTAAATAATTCCTCCAATGACTTGTTTCTCGCTCAGGAGGAACAGTAAAGTCCGAATGTCTGCTCGCTCCCTCGCCACCGATGTGCCAAAACAGGTCAGTGGAGCAAGAAGCTCCATGTGTTTTGTTTAAGTAAACCAATCAAATCGCCCTCCACATATTAATTCCTCATCTGTTTCTTCCCTTCTCCTTTACGCACGCAGAGCTTGTCGTTCAACGACAGTCTCTGTGCCCCAGGCTCCGCCTCCTCCGCCACCGTGTCCTTCTCCCCGGCGCGCAGCCCCCCACGGACTGAGCTCCAGCCGCGGGGGGCTGCGCCCACGCCGAGCTGGTCCCCGGCCTCGCCGCAGCAGCTCCAGCTTCAGTCCCCTCTGCAGGCCGCCAGACCCCCGAGCCCTCCGAAGGAAGAACCCGCCAAGGCCGCGTCCCCGTCTCACTTCGCTTTTCAAGGTGCCCCTAGAAATCCGGCAGCAGGACACTGCAGCCCCTTGTTTGTGTGTGTAGAGGGCGGCACTTTCCAATGGCCGCCCCCCAGAAACGGCAGTGAGGATAGCGAGCGCGGCGCGCGGAGGGGCGTGGGGTTCCCGGCGGGGGGGAGGGTGCGACGGGAAGCGGCGGGGGGTCCTCACGCCCGAGGCGTTCGAGGCGAGGCTCTTGCGCGGCACCCAGAGCCACGCGCCGCCGATGCCCGACTCGCCGCTGCGCGTCACCGAGGAGTTCATAGACGACGACCCCGCCGAGATCTCCTTCTACGCCGGCGGGGCCGAGGCCTACTCCTTCGGGCCCGAGGAAGACCGCTTCGATTACGGCGGGGAGCCCTACCCCGCGGGGGGCGCGCTGTCCAGCGTGGGCATCGAGGACCTGTTCCCAAACAGACGCCTCTTCCCCGACGGCTTCGGTGGGCGCTCCGAGACCAGCTCGGCTGGTCAACAGCCGCTCCGAGGGCAGCCACCTGGACAACCTTGGGGCTCGCCTCGGGGGGCGAGTCCATGTCGGCGGGCTACGGGGGCGGCGACTCGTCCTCGCTCGGCCTGCCGGGCTCCGACATGCAGTCGGAGGCCAGCTCCATGGTCAACTTCCCGGCGTGCTCGGTGCGGTCGGAGGGCAGCTGCGCCGCGCAGTTCGGCGACCTGGTGGAGCAGTTCGAGCAGCTGAGCTACCCGCCCACGGCCACCGAGGGCTCGGCCAACGGCAGCTCGGACTCCGACTCGGACTGGGGCTCCGACAGCGTCCTCCCCCCCGAGCAGAAGCTGTTTCACAGCGACCTGCTGATGGGGAGCGGCGGGATCGAGGATTTCATCCGTCAGTACCAGAACCTGCAGGCGCTGGCCCTCGCCGACCCGCCCGCGTCCCCTCACGTTCCGCTGTGAGGTCGGGCGTCGCAGCAGCACTTGGCGAATGACGACTTCAAGCACTCTCTAATCATACGGCCTCGGCTCCACGCGCGCTCTTAATAATCTTCGGGCGGGTGACCCCGTGAAAGTGCCCGGGAGTCTTTATCTTAACACGTGGGGGGGATTTCTGTCTCGCCCGCCGTGGACGCGCTTTTATTTCCGGCTCTCCGTGCTGATGAGTGGCGGGAATCGGCTCCCACTAAACACGTTGGTCTTCGGCAGCACTCGTTGCTTTCGGGTTTTGATTCGTGCCGTTTCTCCGCCGCGGTTTGTTTGCGTTGCTTTTTTTTTTTTTTTGCTGCTGGCCTTTTTTAAAATGTTTTTATTCACGAGACACACGACGACATAGTTGCCGGTGTGTTTGCCAGTTGTCACATCGGCAACAATCTTCCTGTTGAGCGTAGAATCGATCGTGCATTCTAGATGAAAAACATTTTTGTGCCTTTTTAAAAAAAAAATAATTAGAAGCTTAACTATTATGACAGTCCTTTTAAAAAACTAAAAGTACACAAGCATAGGAATGTTTTTTTTTTTTTTTTGTTAGTTTTGCCTTCCGTAAAATAGTTACTCAACTCAGGATGTCAAAGTATTCTGCATCCACCAGATATTTTTATGTTTTCCACCTTATTTTTAAGCAATAAAAACCCACAAGCAAGCCAAAAAAAAAGTAATTAACAAATGTACTGCTAGTGTTTTTACAAATAATCTGGTTTAAAAAAAAATCTTATGCAATGAAATCAATGTGCCTTATCTCAGGGTAAAAAAAATGAAACCCAGTGGTTCAGTGATCCTCAGTGACATCTGCTGGCTGAAGTGGTCTTCTTCCCGTCACACCAGCCCACAGCATGAATGTAGGAGCCGTCATGTAGATCCACTAAGCCTGAAGGATAAAAATAAATGGTAACCCACTAACATTTTGGCCTCATGCCGAGCTTAGTGAAAGAATGTAAGCAGTGTACGAGTGAGCCAGTAAGTTCTGCTAAATGAATGTATCCTCTCAGCATTATAGATACTACTTTATATATTTTTTTTAATACATTTTGTTTTCTACGGACACGTATTGGCATAGGAGCGGGCATTGGCTGTCTCGTGGTACGACGCTAACACGCTAGCATGCACAGAGCTGCTCTGTCTGACCTCCAGGCCGCAGATACGCGTCGTCTGCCGTAAAGTCAACACTAAAAGCTGATCTGTGCTGATCTTGAACTAATTGCCAGTATTTGGTTCATTCACTGATGTCATTTCCTCAGTATTCACTTGCCAAGTGCAATTTTTAAATTTCCTTTTCGTCCGAGCTCACTTGAATCTATACAAGGACGGACTCGGCTTTTGCAGAGTTTGCTGTTTTTTAAAACGTCCTGGTTTTTTTTTTTCTGTTGGGTCTGGCACCGCCGTCCCTTTAAGCACTTACCGTCTCTTTCCTTCATGGCACATGCTTTCACGCGGATCTCAGGTGTGCATCGAGGCTCTTTTTTTTTTTTTTTTGGCAATGGTTAAAATACACACCAGTTTTCATCGTCATTTTGAAAGATGGTGAGCAGCCATGGCCAATCTTGTGCCATCACATCACCCATGAGAGCGCGTGGCGTGTCTGCCGGTTCCAGGGATTTTGTCCTGGTGGCTTTTCTTTCTTTTTATTCCCTTTTTTTGGGGGGCGGGAGGGGGGTCTTTTTCTGCCATGTGATTCTCCCCACATCTTGGATAACGATTGAATCAATGACGAGCTGATGGCCATAACCAGCTAATCTTAACTGCACTTACGCACCAATAATCATGTATATTGGCTTATACAACCTGTACTTAATGTGTGTATGTTTTTACTCAAGAATAAAGTCACCACTTTTGGGTACCATGAATGTCAGACTTAAAATTATTTTGTTTGCAGACGCAGGCGGACCTTTTTTTAAAAAAAAAAAAAAAAAGGAAAGGATGTTATTCTTTCAGCTGCCTTAACAGAAACCCAAGTGGTGTCAGGCGTTTGGATCATGACCTCTGTCATCTGGGCCAAATCTGAAAAAAGCTTGTAATGTTTTATTATTTTTTTATGCTATGACACTAGACGATATGATGTAAATGTGTGCTGTTCAAGGCTCATCATTTTGTGTAGAATTAACGAAACGAAATCCCCCTCAGGAATCACCTTCTGATCCTACAAAGAATTCGTCAGTTGATTTTCAGCTGCAGGACCTTCTGTTGACTCAGTCCATGTTTCTCTGTAATCGTCCTATTGATGCGGAAGTCTCGTCATTGGTACGTGACAAAAAGACTCCTAACTAACAAGTAAACGCACGCCGCCTTTCAAATTTAAGGCAACGTGCTTGTGTGCCGTCGGGGGGAGGGGTAAATGGGGGGGGGGGGGACAAGGGGTCGCATTCTTGCACAAAGATTCCCTAACTCAATTCAGGTTTAGTGAGTGCGTGTTGGCTGTTTGGACAGGCTTTGTGCCAAGTCATTCCGGAGCAAACCCTCGTCCTGCTGCAGAGTCCAACCCCCCCCAGTCAGATAAACCATAAACGACCGTTTGCCCTCCAGACAAGCCACATTCCTGATAAGTCTTTGCGTGAGCAATTATTTCCGGGTCGAGGAGTGTTTCTTTTTTTTTTTTTCCCTCAGGCTTCCTTCCCCCGCTCTGTTTTTTTTTCTTCTTCTTCTCCCTGCATTAGAAGTGGAAGAACAGCTGTGTTGACCCTTCATCTGCTGTCTCCTGATTTGAGGCGGAGCAAAAGCAGCAGCTCCCCTGAGACGCTGCTCACATGAGTTCACTTTGAATCCTTCTGGCTGTTGATGGCTCTGACAGCGATGGCGGGGGGGGGGCGGTGGCGGGGGGCACCACTATTTGGGTTGGCGTGCTCTGCCGTCCCTCCCTGTCCATTTGCGGGCCGACGTGTTTGAGGCCCTTGGCTGGTTTTTGTTCAATTACTCTGCCTGCGTCTCCTCTTTTTGGGGGAAGATCAAGTTATTTATTTGACTCTGAAGTTTTAATTCTAGACTTCAACCCATTTTGATTTCACTTGCCCGACTTCTCGCACTGTACTACTGGGGAAAATTTTTAAAAAGTAATTTTATTCCATTTGTTTCCCCTCTTCCACAGATTCCGCTGCAGACAGCCCTCAGGCCTCCCCCGTCAGCTCCAAAGGCCCCCTCTGCTTGTCCCCCTCCTTCCAGATGTCCACCCTCAGCCTGCCGGGCCAGAACCCGTCGCCCCTGCAGAGCCCCGTCCTGGGCGAGGGTGGCAGTAATCCCAGGCTCGAGGAGGAAGAGGAGGGCAGGAGGAAGGTAGGGGGGGGGGGGGCACTAGTCCCCTATGATGGGTGTGTGCGCGTGGGGGCGTCTTTTAAAATATTTGTCCATTGCTCGGTTTTGAAACTCGTGTCCTTCTTTCCCCGCAGCGATATCCCACCGACAAGGCCTACTTCATCGCCAAAGAGATTCTGACCACAGAGCGAACATACCTGAAGGACCTCGAGGTCATCACTGTGGTGCGTTGCTTCTGTTCTCGCTCAGTTACAAGGTAGAAGCAGCGTGGTTCCTTCAAAACCAATGAAGCCTCGTGAAAAATAATACAAAAGAATGAATAATGATAAGACTCATATGCAAACAAATGGAAGCAGACCCTTGTTCAATTCACTCACAATCATACAGATTCCCTCCAGTGGATAGATGTTGGTAATAATAAGGCTTTCTGTCGGCAGGACTTCAAATCAGAAATGGGTTTCCGATGCCTGTTTGGGCCGTAAAAACAAATGTGCAGCAATTCAAATGGCAAAATTGGCTTTCAATTAGAAACCTCGTCTCCACACGCGGCCATGTTCCCCACGCCAGTCTACTTAGTAAGTGACTTTAAATGCATCAATAGCCGCTTGTCCCTCTCTGCTGCTCGCAGTGGTTCCGCAGCGCCGTGATCAAAGAGAACGCCATGCCCGAAGTCCTGATGAACCTCCTCTTCTCCAACATCGACCCCATCTACGAGTTCCACCGGGGCTTCCTCAAGGAGCTGGACCAGAGACTGGCTCTCTGGTAGGTGCTCCCGTCGACGCGTTCTCTGTGTGATAAAGCAACAAAGAACCCACCACCCCCCCGAAAAAAATAATAAACGTGTATCCGCAGGGAGGGACGCTCCAACGCTCACGTCAAGGGGGACTTCCAGAGGATCGGCGACGTGATGCTGGGGAACATGTGCGCTCTCAAGGTGAGAAGGCTTCTCTTCACCTTGGAGTGACGGGAACGGGAACGTCCTTGTGTCCCAACGCCTCCCATGTGCATTTATGTTGCCCCCCTTCCACCACCAGGAATTCACCGGCTTCCTGCAGAAACACGACGAGGTGCTGACCGAGCTGGAGAAAGCCAGCAAGAGGCTGAAGAAGCTGGAGACGGTCTACAAGGAGTTTGAGCTGCAGAAGGTGTGCTACCTGCCCCTCAATACCTTCCTGCTCAAGCCCATCCAGCGCCTCATGCACTACAAGCTCATCCTGGAGCGGCTGTGCAAGCACTATTCCCCCGCCCACCGCGACCACGACGACTGCAAGGGTGAGCGCCCCATCGCCATTCTAGGTGTTCAGAATGCGTTGGCAGCGTTGGTTGGAGTAGTTTCTGCAGTACCTCCCGTGCTGCGGATGTATTTGCACTGCTCAGTCAGAGTGCTGTGTACCCCCGTCCTCTATTAGTCAAACATCCTGTAGTGGGATCTTGGTCAATAAAAGAAGCTGAATCTCTCTTCCTGCTGTGGCAGTACGGTTTCCCCCTATTGGCTCTAAAAGGGCTCAGATTTAGTAAATGCAGACATGTTCCATTTAGTTATTTATGAATGAAGAATATTCCCTGATATGTCTCCTCATCGACTCGTCTCTTAATATGCGTCACCATGAGATGAAGGTTATACTCTTAAAGATATCAATATTTATAATACTTTTTAATTGAAGATTAAAAACCTATTTCTGAAGCTGGAGATGGACATCTTGTCTTTTGCTCTGTTGGAAGGGTAAAAATGTTTTTGTCGATGTTCTTGCAGAGGCTCTGAAGGAAGTGGCGGAGATCGCCGCCCAGCTCCAGAGCAGCCTGATCCGCCTGGAGAACTTCCAGAAGCTGACGGAGCTGCAGAGAGACCTGATCGGCATAGAGAACCTGACTGGGCCGGGCAGGGTGGGTGGAGTGCCGGCCTGAGGAAGGCACGGGGGAAACGTCTGTTGAACCTTCACCTTTTTAACTGGTTTTATCTTCTGAATAGGAGTTCATACGAGAGGGGTGTCTGTACAAACTCACAAAGAAAGGCCTGCAGCAGAGGATGTTTTTCCTGGTTGGTGCAAAAAAAAAATCGATATGCTGCCGACGTAAGTTTCTACAAATCAATGCAGCTCAAAGATGACGCCAAGTGTTTCTCCTCAGTTCTCCGACATGCTCCTCTACACGAGCAAAGGCGTCACGGCGACCAACCAGTTCAAAGTGCACGGCCAGCTGCCCCTTCACGGCATGATCGTGAGTGTTTACGCGCCAGTCTGCTCTCTTCTCTCTCCCCCCCCCCCCCCCATCCTCCTCCTGCAGCAGCACAGGGGATGGAATAGTGGGCCCCGGTGGTGAGATGTGTATATGTGTCTAGAAGGGCCCCCGGGTGTCCTAATTGTTGATGTCTCTGCTTTCACTCCTGGCTGCAGCTCATAGTGCTGGATACACCGGTAAGTCCTCTGAGCGCCGTTGGACACCCCCAACGCCAACCCCCCCCTTCTTCTCCCGCACTCGTTTAGACAAGCCGCCAAAAGAGTGCTGAAGACGCAGAATCCTGTCTGCGCGCGCAATAAAAACATCTCAAAATGATAAAACTACCGGCAAGGACTTTTGGCTTTTAGAATGAGACCCACCATGACACCATTAGAATTTCAGCCCTTCTCTCATGCACATCTCTCTCTGTGCGGTTCCTCGCCCTCTCGGCTCACTTGCTCTTTTATCCTCTCAGTCAAAAAAAAAAAAGAAAAAAAAAAAAGCACAGCAGAGCTTAACTTTCCTTTGTAATGGAACGGGGAGAAACGCTCTCTCCCCTCGTCCTCGATCCATTCCACACATTCTCCCTCGTCGAATGAATCCTGTGCGTTCAGCCGCATGGGCTGTTTTGTTAGGGGGTAAAAAGATGTACGTTCCTCAAAAGCACCTCAATACCAGGGGGGAGTTCCTCCGGTCCAAACAGTGGTTTGTCTGGACCCTGCAGTATTGGGGGGGGGGGGGGGTCACATTGTGCCTCCACTCCACCTGCTTGTGTTTTCAGCCCTGAGCTGAAAATTCATTGTTTTCTTTCAATGTTCATTGTTTTTTTTTTTGTTCCTGAAGGTTGAGGAGAGCGAAAACGAGTGGTCGGTCCCTCACTGCTTCACCATCTACTCTGCTCAGAGGACCGTCGTCGTGGCCGCCAGGTGAGACGACCTGAAAATATTTCAGTCCTGAATATTGTATTTCACATCCCGTTGTAATTTGACCTCCTTTCCATGGTGGATGTGCACGCAACTTGTCCTGTCTGTCGTTGCAGCTCTAGAGTGGAGATGGGGAAGTGGATTGAGGACCTGAACTTGGCCATTGACCTGGCAAAGAAATCCCAGGAGAAGTCCAGCATCTTCCTTGACGCAGGACTCGGCGATCACTCCAACCGTAAGCGCTTCCATTTCCTCGGTATTCGCCGAGGATTTGCACGGACCGCCAGGCCGCTTCAGTGTAGAATTTTCCCCCTCCTTTGGTCACAGAGCGCATTCCAATGTACAGTTGATCCCTCCCCAAACCACTTCCTGTCCCACCCCCCCCTAACCCTCCCAGGGTCGTCCGACGAGGTGTCTCTGGAGCAGGAGTCGGAGGACGACATGAACTCGTCGCACACGTCGCTGGACAAGCAGACGCACCACCGCGCCAACACCACCATGCACGTGTGCTGGCACCGTAACACCAGCGTGTCTATGTCCGATCACAGCCAGGCTGTGGAGGTACTCGTCCTCCTGCAAACCCAACTAAACTAAAACAAACCAACGCGCGCGCACACACACGCAGAGCAGACGTTTCCGCGTTAGCGCAGCGACACAGACGGCGATGGCTCGACTGGCGTGGGAGCGCCGTTTACCTCCCCGGGCGGCGGACTTGAGGAAAGCACCCTCCGTAATCTCTGCGTTTCTCTTTCCAACTCCCTCCCTCCCTCCCTCCATCTCCTGGTGTCTGTTGATCTCTTGTGTCCCATCTGTTTGACATCGAGAGGATATTAATAATTTGCACGCAATGACTGATTTTTCTTCCACCTTCTCTCCCCCCCCCCAAGGACTCGTCTTCCTCTTTTCTTCGTCTCCGAGCTAACGCGCTAACCCTTGTTCTCTGCCCCCCTTTCTTGTCTCCTCGTCCTCTCAGTCTACGGCTCTCCGGCTATCTCACCTGAGCTTCCTCCTCGCTACCTCCTCGGTCAGGGCCAACGGCCAAACACCATCACACACGTTTGCTGGTACCGCAACCAGAACCTCTCGCTCACTGACTACCTGCGCATGAACCAGGTACCGGGGGCCGCCAGAGTAGCTTCACCCGGGAGTCTCGCTAGCAATCCTAGCAGAGTGGAAACCCCTCAATGTGTATATATTTTTTACATTTTTTCTTATTGCGACATTGGCTTGTCGATGCATCACATTTTGGCCTCCATTTCTACGAGCTCACAGCGCTCGTACATATTAATAAATCCATCTCAAGTATACCTACAGATCCAGGGCTGCCATAACGCTACGGTTTAAATAAGTAAAGCAATTTAGAAGAACAACTACAAAACGTTACAGAAGGTGGAAAATGTTGTAGAATGGAGGAACTACTGTAACCCAGAACAGAATGGGTCTGCTTCTTCACAACTGGAGGAGGAATATGGCCGATGTTTTCATAGGGCTGCCGTAAATAAAGATATTTTCTCTCTTAAGTTGTAGCGTGGGCCATTGCTGCTCCGCGTTGTTAGGACGTAAAGAGGAAAGTGAGCGCGCCAGGAAGTGCTCAAAGCCTTTTGTGAGCGCTTTAAAGCTTGGAGCGCGCTTCAACAGATACGCAAACGTTTTTTTATGTGATGGTTGAAGCGTCTGTTACAATCACTCCTCTAATCCGTTTTTTTGTAAATGCCGTAGAACCAGCTGTCCGGTTACCTCCTGAGGAAGTTCAAGAACAGCAACGGCTGGCAGAAGCTCTGGGTGGTCTTCACCAACTTCTGCTTGTTCTTCTACAAGACTCACCAGGTCAGCAGAGCGTCCCAGCCGATTGGCTGCTGGAGTGCGATGCGTTTTGTGCATTCACAAAGATCACCCCCTCCCCCACCTTCCTCGTCTCTCCCTTTGCAGGACGACTTCCCCCTGGCCAGCCTGCCCCTGCTCGGCTACACGGTGAGCACCCCCGACGAGACGGACGGCATTCACAAGGACTACGTCTTCAAGCTGCAGTTCAAGTCCCACGTTTACTTTTTCCGGGCGGAGAGCGAGTACACCTTCGAAAGGTACGTGCCTGGTAGAGGGAGGGAGGGGGGAGGAGGGGGTGAAAGCCCTCCCAAATGGGCGATGACTTGCTAAGAAAACAACAAAACAAAAAAAAAACCCTGACCTGTGCGCTTGTCTCCACAGATGGATGGAGGTGATCAAGAGCGCGGCCAGCACCACGGGCCGGATGAGCCTGCTCGTGCCCAAAGGAGGTCCCGCGGAGATGAACGGGAACTGAAGGGGGTGCCGCCCCCGCACCTGGAGGCTGGGCCTCCCGGGGCATCCGAGAGGCCGCCGCGTTTTCTTTTTTGGGGGCATATTTTTACGGGGAGCAAATATTCTGACGATAGCAAACGGAGGCTGAAAGACGCAGCCGGTTAAAAGTATTTAACATTTGTCAGCCTACGGATTTCATTCTAACGTTTGTGTCAGCATACAGGACATAAGAAAGGGAGATTTTTTTTATACAGTTTAATTTTAATTTTGTTACATGTGTTTGTTCACATAAATTACTGTCATATGGGACCAACTCTAACACAAAAGGGGCTTTTACTCATTAGCGCGCCATGACTGAAGCTGCGTTGAGATGCGCATTATGCCCAGCGTGTGGGGGGGGACAAATGAAGGTACACGGTTATATGTGCTCTCCATTGGAGGCGTGTGTGTGTGTGTGTGCGTGTGCGTGTGCATGCTTGATGATGACCAGCAGAAAGTTCTCGGGATGTTGAAGCAGGTTTTAAGTCGTTACGTTTTTTGCGATGCATGGGAAGTTTGGAGAAAATGTGACCCGCACGTGATTTCGGTTTGCAGGCATTTGGCAGCATTTGTGAGAAGATGATGATTCTTTTTTCGATGAATAAAGCTGAAGTATTAGTGAGCAGCCATTTTTCGCTGAGGCGTTCCTGTCTGTGGGAGGCGATTTCAGATGAAGGGAGCTGCTTTAATGTGTAGTCGGGCAGCGTGACGGCCAGTTGGGTGCTACATTTGTCTTTTTAATGTCAAACGTATCCTGTTTTTATTCTTCGGGTTAGGGATAACAACTTGAGGACATGTTGTGCAGTAGTGACCCAAGTGTGCAAAGGTTGCAGGGCTTCTCCTCTAAAGGCGAGACACAAGGACACATTTTGAAGTAATCCTACGAGGTGATGAAGTCCTGCTGCATGCCGGGCTCATGGGAGACACCAACGCCATTTATTGACTGTTATTTGGTGCACGCGTAAAATTAATCGGGATGTTTTAATGTGTGTGTGTGTGTGTGTGTGTGTGTCTGCGCGCGTGCGCCATCTCCGAACCGTCTTGACTTTCTGTGTGAGCGGTCAACTGTTAACAAGCGGTACATGTTACTCCTATTTATTGTTTAGCGTCATCAGGGCCGTTGCTCCCGCATGCCCCCCCATGTAGTTATCATGTTATTATTGTTATTACATTGAAGAAAACTAACGAATAAAACAAACGTTGGAATCACTCTCTGTTGTTTGACATTCTGTGTGAATATTGGTGGACTACGTGTCAGCTGTTACTCTTATGAGCCGTTCCATTTCAAAGGTAGCCTGCCTTTTTTAATTTGGGAATATGACATCAAACTTACCTGTAAAGCAACTTTAGTGCAGGTTTGTGCGATTTAGTGATTTACAGACGACACGTCCTCATGCAGACATACAAATAATGATTTACCTCAGCCGGAGTCCAGTAAAATCCTTTTAAAACTCTTATGTGGGAACTAATGAGCCAGTATTCACATCCTGCATTGACAATGAATCTTAAATAAGAGATGTGTGAATTCAGCAAGATCGTGATATGGATATCAAATGTAAAAGTACTCGTCCAGTTTGACGGTTAAACTATTACAAAATTATAAATATGCTGTTTGAATTTATATGGGGCTTCAACTAATGAACATTTTCAGCGTGGATTCAATGGCAGATGACTTTCTCCCTATATCGAGTGTCATTGTTTAAATCCTCACACCTGAGCAGCAGTAACCATAAAATCCTTTGGCATTTTTGCCTTAAAATGAGCTATACTGTCCTTTAATAATGAATATAAAAAGTGTGCTGATTCTAAGGACCAAACGCACTAAAGCCGAGTTTTAGCACTTTAGTGTATTTCGTATTTCTCAAACTGTGCTGCCGTGACGGTTTGAGGACTTTGCTTCCTCCTCCTCCTCCGGCTCGAGCAGGGATCCTCACGTCTGTGGAGCAGTCAGGAACAAAGCGGCATTCCTTAGGCAGGCCCGAACAGGGGGAGCTGTGGGCGGGTCGGGGTCGGGCCAGAGATGACAAGATTGCTGACCTACCAAGGAAATCGAGTGAAAGGCTTTTCCGTGGAGATGTGTCGCTGCTCGCTTATGGAGATTATGAGTGACTTGAAGGTGTGTTGCGTTCCGTGTGTGCGAGAAACAAGGAGTCTAAATGAGCTCACGCTAATGCTGTTGGGTCATAGAGGGAATGCATCATAACACATGTGTCTCAATAGAGTCGATGGGGTTGCCCCCCCCCCCCCCCAAGCTGGTAACTTGACCTATTGGCTCCATATTTGCCAGATGGACAAAGTGTGGTATTGATAAATCAATACGAATCTAACTAGCCTATGAAAAACCGTTTGTGAAGACTCCCCTCCGATGACGTCACAGTGATGTCACTCTGTGCTAAGGTGTGGAGGTTTACCTGCAGATACAGGTGAAAAGGAGTCATTGGTTGCATTGTGGGAAATGTAGGATTATGTGTTTAGGGAGTTTGACCTGTAATTGGGACATAAATTGAAATTTTGATTACCTTTTTGTTTTTTTGTATCAAGCTCTCCCAGGTCCAACTTTATTAGATTGTCTGAACAATTATTTTGTTGTTGGGTAGAAGATAATCGAATAGTTTGACACCTTTTTTTCCCCCCAAAGACACAACAACACAACATCCCCACAGCTGATTAAAGCGGCATAAACCTAATCAACGGACAGACGCCTAATCAAGAGTGTGCGTGTGTGTGTGTGTGTGTGTGTGCGTGCGTGTCATGATTCCCGATGGGGGGGGGGCGGGCCTTGTGTGTCCCCGCCTTCGGACTTCACAATAAGTGCCCTTAGAAGGAGAGCCTGTCACACTTTTAACTGAAGAGCTTCTTTATTTCTTTTCGATTCCAATGGCGGCAAATCTGTAGTTCCTTTAATGTGAAATGATTCAAACCTCCTCTCCTGCCCAGAAGGTCAGCATGCGGGATCAGAGGTTCTCGGGTAAGTGACATCTGAATTGTCCATACCTTCACAAAGCAGCTCCTCTGGACTCTGCGCGTAAGCCGCGGCGTTATTGCGCAGTGACAGCTCGATCCAGGCCAATCAACAGCTTCCCGACAAAGTAATCCGCGGCTTTTTAGTTATGCGGGATCATCTCCGCGAGTTGGCCTAGTTCCTGCAACCCACACGCGGACGCAGAAGGTGCTGGTCTTCCCGGTGGAGAAGTGGCCGCCTGGAGGGCAGCGGCAGGCGGCGGAAGGAAGGTGCGCGGCGCGGCGCGGTGGCGGCCGGCGGCGGCGGGGGCATGGACATGTTGCGCCGCTCGTCTGTGTTCGCGGCCGAAGTGTTTGACCGCTCGCCCACCGACAAGGAGCTGGTGTCCCAGGCCAAGGCGCTGTGCCGGGACTACATTCACTCCAGGCTCAACCGCGCCGGGATGGGCTGGTCGAAGCCCGAGTCCGGGCGCGCCGCACCGGGCGGCGGGCTGGGAGACGTCTCCTCGGCCCTGCTGTGGCTGGGTGAGTTTGTGTTTTGTGATCATTAAAAAATGAAGTGAATGAAAATGTAAAAACCTATTTGAATGATTGTTGGGACATGACTTCAAGTATGACATCACTCTCAATGTGTTTAATGTTCAATAAAAACACGTTGAAGGGAATAAATGTTCAGTTGTTGTCCCGGTATTAACAGTGAGTGGATTCTGAGGTTTCATTCCATTTGTGGTTGTCACCCCACCTTCACTTTAGATGTGCATTTCACTGGAAAGTCGAAAACAGACTGTTTAATTAGAAGAAAACAACAGGGGGGAATGTTTGATGTTTGGGAACACATTCCAGCCGAGTGTGTTCACCAAATCAAAAGATTCAAACCGAGCAATCGTCAGACAGGACCTTTGGACTTTGTTCCTTTAAATTGTACTGGATATTAAGTAATTCCAGGTTACCACAGAACATCTGCTATTCATAAATTGTTATTTTTCAAATGTGATTTAGAAGGAATAGTTGACATTTTCTTCTGACTTCGTAGAGTGGATTTCACTTATTTTCATGTTTGTGGTGTAAAGACAAATATCAGGGGCTTAGTGTTGCTCCTCTGAGCCGTCAGGGCTTCGTTACCATGGAAGCCACTCTGTCACGAACTGCACTCCCCAGAGAACTATTATCTAACTTTTGGAAAAACAAAAAAAAAGCAATTCCAGAGAGAAACAGACCTCAGGGGTTTGGAGGGTGAAAGCGGGACGGAGTCACCAGTGGGAAATGGTTGAAAAAGTTAAAGATGGAAAGTGTAAAAGTGACACACCACATCACCCGGTGATCAAGAGGGACTACAATGAACATAAGGATTAACACCATGAAGCCAGAAGGCCTTTTATTCACTTTTTCAATCATCATAGACCAGAAGCAGCATCTTCAAGCATTTAGAAGAGCAAATGCTAGTTCGTTTCCAGTCTTGCTTTGATTGTTTGACCACTATAAACAGACCATATTAACCCTTCTCAATGAGTTCATGTCTTGGCCAGGTGATGAGTTGGAGTACCTTCGACCCAACGTGTACCGCAACGTTGCGCGGCAGCTAAACATCACGGTGGCGTCGGAGAGCATTGTGTCCGATGCCTTCCTGGCTGTGGCTGCAGACATTTTCTCCACAGGTACGTCCACATCAGGATCTCGTCGTATTGTAAATCATGCAGCCGAGTGTGCAGCCCTGTATCATGACAATGGACTTTATCGTTTTTGTTCATCAGGTCCCCAAACTTGAAAACAAAGGAAGGTTAAAGAGCGTTCTAGCTGTTTTAGGGAAGTTCTTCTCGTTTGTCATCAAGAAGAGGGAACATAGCCTCAGACCGACACAATAAAGAAAGTGTTTATCTATGTTACTCCTACTGTAAATACGTATATATAATTACTAGAGCTGTCCATAATTTCCTCCCCGTCAAAAATCACCTTTTCCGGCCAACTTTTTCCTATAAACACCCTTTTTTTCAGGGCGACTGCGGAATTCTCCAGTTAGACGCTCTGTTGCAGTGGAAAACATTCAGTCCATATTAGGTTAACATGTCGCCAGAGCGAGTGATTGTTACAGACAGTTTGGACCCCACCCACGGAGCTCAGCCCTCAGCCTCAGCTGGTTCATACCTTCGGGACTTGTAACAAAGCAAATCTGTTGCAAAAGTAATCAGGTCTGTGTGGTCCTTACGAACTCCAGTGACTTAGAAATATCACCAACCGCCTCAGACGCAGCCATTTGAAAGAGTATAATTACCCAAATGGAAACACGCTTTGGGACTTGGACCCACAGTGACAGCTGATCGTCTAGACGTGTCACTGTGAAGAGGAAGTCCTGGGCACCAGCAGATAATTACCACAAACTATTCGAATGCTTATCAGCCTGTGGTCACAAATGGGGGAAAAGGGACGGCTCAACTTGACGCTTTTGGTTCATCATTATTTTCCCTGAAGGCGTTTCCGAACACAGGCAGATGTTTTCTGTGGATAAAAAAACAAACTCTGACGAAACTTCCTGTCTACTGTCATTAGACGTTACGAAATGGGAAATGAACTGACATTTCTGTGGTTATTTAAAGTTCAGATTAAAGTCACATTGGCCACAGTAGAAAAAAAACAAACAGCCTGCCCACGCTGTGACCATCCGGTACGTTGAATTGAATTCTACCCCCTTTTTTTTGACCTATAGGAAGACGCACACTTACACAGCTGCTGGAATGTGTTAGCGTGAATGCAATATCTGCCAGCTAAGGCTGAAGCACAACATGCAGTTGAGTTGCATTGGGGAAATGTTGCGCCCTGAGTTATTAGAACTTGATAGCATAAGCTATCAGACCTCATTTGTAAAAGGTAAACCTTTATCTACAATATATATTGGACAGCAGCATTCCATGTGCGCACTATGGAGAGTATCATTCTGCAAATTCCAGATCTCACGGTCAAAGGGGAACATGACCTCCGTTTACGGGATCCTGGGAGTGAATCGGGCGACAGACGCAGAAGATGGATGGAGTTGGGGGCTCATTTTGTATCCGTTCAGACGTGTAAACACTCCAGAAAGAGCCTGAAGCTTTGACTGTAAATGGCGCTGCGGCAAAATCTCAACAACTGAACTAAGTCGGAAAAATGATCTGCTCACTAATCTAGCGAGGCAAGCTGTCTGACTGCTGCCCAGAGCTTTGTGTTTGGCTTTTCTCCTCTGCGGGACAGACAGGCATGTAGGCCGCCTGCCTGCCTGCCTGCCTGGCTGCCGCTGAGGTTTTAGAGTTTGTTCATCCGCCCCCGAATAAAAGCTGCTGGCAGCCTTTGGCTGCAATAACAAAACTCCTCTCAAACATCCACTCCAGATTGTCAGATGTTGCGTACTTTGTCCTGACGGTGTCTCTCCTTGTCAGGTGTGACATGGGGGAAGGTGGTGTCTCTGTACGCCGTGGCGGGAGCCCTGGCTGTGGACTGCGTTCGCCACGGCCACCCAGCTATTGTCCATACCATTGTCGACTGCATGGGGGAGTTTGTCCGCAAGAGCCTGACCACCTGGCTGAAAAGGAGAGGGGGCTGGGTAAGGGCAGGTTCTTCATTTAACCTGTTCCATTGTGAGTGTTGCTGATGAAGGTATGTGCGTATTTGTGGCAAAGTAAGTTAAGCTCACTATATGAACAAAGGTCCTGGCGAAAAAGTCACAGCATCCACATAAAGGAAATATATATTCAGGGCGTGAAATTGGCAAATTGAATGAACAAGTGCTTCATAATTCATGGATGGTGGGTGTTCTTTGAATATTGGGGCCGTAGTCCTCTAATTGTTTTTGAAAAATAAACATCACAAGTTTCCAGAGTCCAACGGGATTAGAAACTCAAATTGGCGGCATCGTCATGCTCTGAAAAGTGATGCTGAAGTGCCTTGAACTTCTCGATCAATAGGGGGCGACTCCTCGGGTTGCAGGAATGCGCTTGGTCGCATAGTAATCTATGAGAAAATAGCTGCGCTTCTATAACATGACATAACAAATTGTACAAATAATATGGTGTTCAACAGAGCAGGACATTCCTTTAGTAAATTACAGTCGCTTTTAGAGTGAAATAGACCATGAAGCAGAGGATTTAGGGCCGTGACAGCTTTCTGATTTAATGTCGTCTCTGTATTTGTCTTTCAGTTAACATGTTGTAACACGTTGGTTGCGTGAAATGATCTGTGTTGCTCTGAACAAAACATGTTAAATGTTGAACTTTTTTTGGATCAATTATCAAGATGTTGTGTCTATTGCTAAATTGATTGATCCTTTTCGCTCTTACTGTATGAATATTTGGACTACTGCCCCCTGCCCGTCATCTGGAGATGATCTGGATATGTGTACAGATGCACATTGCTCCCTTTAATAATTCAGATACCCGAGCTGGTACGAGAGAAAACCATCAAGAAAATATATGACCTATAAATGTATAACGGCACTAAAGTACGGTGCATTGACGATATAACACCGACATCCATTCCATACCACAGACAGAACAGTTGAATAGTCTATTCTGCAGAATCCTATTGATGCAAAACGTCATTATGATAAAACCGGGGAGACAACAAAGCCAAGCCGAAGGAACAAGGCCTGGCAACGCTCCACTGCCCCACTCTGCTGGAAAGAGCACAGGCGAACCGATGCGAACGTGCACTCACAGACGGGGCGGCCGGTTTTGTTTTGGAGGCAAGTGGGGTGTAACAAAATGAGGAGCAAGGCATTGTATGACTGACCTCCATGAGCACAAATGAGGTACCTGTCCCAGTCTGAGCTCAAACGTTCATATTTCCACACGGGGAGGAAATTGGCGCGTGAGAAAAGCTAAATAACAATCTGAGATGTGACGGATCTGAGGAGGGAGAAGTGTTTAGTGTCAGGTTTGACACTTAAAACTGTGCTGTCTGGGAAATGTCATTGTCTATAAAAGGACTCCAGTTGCATAAGTCGGTTTTTCGAGTGAGCATTGCAGAGATTGCTGTGTGGGCTTCGGTTTTGGAAAAAACCCTTTTTAGGGCAAATCGGGACGTCGTTGCGGGTTCTGAGCGTAATGACAAATCAAGAACACATGTTGGGATTTCATGTCCCCCCCCCTCTCTTGTTTCATTCCACAGTCTGAAATCATTATGTGAGCTCTGTGTCTTCTCTCCCGCCACAGGTGGATGTTACGAAATGCGTGGTGAACACAGACCCCAGCTTCCGCTCTCACTGGCTGGTGTCGGCCGTCTGTGCCTTCGGACACTATCTGAAGGCCACTGTGTTGTACCTCCTCAGAGACACGTGAACTACAAAGTCTCTCTCTCCCACACACACACACGCTCTGCACCCTGCACAAAAGATTTTACTGCTTCGGATTGTGTTTACACTCGTTTGCACTGAGCCTTCTTCCACAAATGACCATACCTGCACAGAAAAAAAGGCTTTCCGCGCCTCCTCTGCTTCCAATGCGAGATTGTCTATTCATTGTCAGTGGTAAGGTTATGGCACACTTTTGACACAAAGGCATAAAATCATTCACTCTTGAGGTTTTTTAGCGTCTAATTTGTTCCACAATCAGCAGAACTGCTCATTCGTTGTGCTCCTTGTTTGTCAGAGGCTTGGCTGTCCCTAGTGGTTAAAAATGGTAACTGCTGTAAGGGCTTCTACTGGAATCTCCGCTTCTCTTGGGGGTGGCAAACGTGGCACAGAATACAGATAGAAAACATGTGTTTTCCCTCAATCGAGGCACTAGGAAAATGATTAAGTTATGTTATTTCCAAAGATAATTTGGGGAAGAGTATGCGAGGGTCTTGAAGATTGATATGGTGTTTTTTTCGCCATCACTTGCAGGAACATTTGAAAAGGGGACCAAACAGATACGATTGGCTCTGTGGTTATTAGTGAGTAAATGTTGTCTCTGTCAACACTTGTTTTTTCATGTTATTCTGTATTGCAACACAAAGGTGGAAAGAAAATTAAAGTTGATATTCACACAGCCAACTTGTTCTAATATTTTTCAGAAATTAAATGTTTTGACCAGGGTTCCTCTAACTTATACATTGTTTACGCTTTCCTCCCTACTCACTCGGTACTCTTCTAAGTCTTTTTAAGCAAAGGTATATATATATATTACATTTGAAACTATAAGATTTAGCCCCCTTCCCTGCCCTAATAATGTTTGTACAATCCCTAATGAATCTGATGAATCAAGCCTGTGATATCTACGTATGTGTATTTGTGCACTACTTCATTGTCCACTGTGAGGCAGAGTACGCCATCGCTGTACTGCAATTGCATTAACACAAGTTTCTATGTACGATTTGTCCAAGCAAGAGCACTTTCGTAACATAATTTTGTGTAAATAATTTATTCCAGTAGTAAATGGACTTTCACATTGCAAGTAGCACTAGGGGTCCTAGAAAACAGACACGAGTGTGAGTCATCTGCAACTGTATATATGAAAAATAATAAAATGGTTTTAACAACAATTTTGTGTGGCAGCTATTTTCCAGGAGGTGAGTACACCATTTCAGATGAAATAACTGCTTATTAACCTTGCATTAAATGCACCTCATTACCAGATTGTTCCAGCATGTTTCTTGAGAATTGTAATTTTGAAGGAATTTACCAATTTTTAATAGATTACGTACTTTTTCCCCAATCTTGTCGGAAAATGCTTCCGTTAACCTTACTGTCGCCATTTGTTAACTGGTCTTACGATCAGCTGAGGTCGCATCACGGATATCAACGCGGCTAAAATCTGAAAACATGAACGCACCAGATGGTTTTCAACGGTACGGCTACGTCAGCCGCTACCGATTGGTTTGGGAAACGTGACTCCATTCCGATTTCGATTGGATGTCGTTGGAAATGTCCCGCCTCCCGGCAAATTCCTCAGCGGGACTCTCCTCCCATTGGTCCGCCCGGTCGGAGTCTGGAGAACAACAAGCAAGCTAGGGTGAAGACCGTCGGGATGGATGCAGGTAAACGAGCTTTATACAGCACATTAGCATTTATTCCTCTACTTTACCAAGCCCCTATTCCACCCAAAAAACGAATCACAACAACACTACACCGCACTTCGACACACCATTTCCAGCTTGGTCGTGACAGAATTGCCAACTCCAGCTGCCAGCCCAACACATCCCGTTGCTTCGTAGCCTCGGTGGCGTTAGCCTGCTAATATGATGACTAAAGCTTATTGCTAACCAGCGGTAGCTTGTTGTTATTGCTCAACGTGGTGGATTCCCCGCTCTGACAGCTCGCTGCACCGCCGCAAAACTACTTGTTATTGCTCGACGTGTCGTCTTTGTTCGTGACATTAGTCGTCGTCAAGTTTCCCTGTTCGTAATTCGCCTCCCGTCCTCGGGCGGACTGTTCATGCTAACGCGACGTTACGCCCAAGACGGATACAGCGGTCGATGCACTGTCACTCACCACCGCATCAGCTGCTAGGCTAACGCTGCTATTAGCCAGCAGAGCAACACTCACGCACTTTAATAACGTAACACTCTTCAGGAATTACGAGCAGGCTTCTCATTGCATTCCCGTCTCCTTCGACTGCAAACACACGAGCCTGTAAGTTAAATGTCAGCGTTCTGGGTCCAGGCTGACTTAAGGGACGGATGCCGTGAGTAAGTGAGCTATTCAACGTCGCCTCTCTTATTAGTTAACGTCACAGGACTCGTTCAGTTGGATAAACAGCGAAAGTTCTTTTCCTAACGTCGCATCGGAAGTGTGAATGGCTGCGGACGTCCAGTGAAACGCAGGTGCTTCTTATGGGGAGACTTTACACTTCTGATGGTCATAACTGGTTTGCCTCAGTTTTATCTGGCGTTGATCCCAGTATTTCTGACTTGATTGCTGTTTGCCATCGCACCTACTTTACTGGTTTATTTAATACTACATAATTGCACCAGGGAGATGTCTGTTTGTGTTGTATGTGTGATGTATGTTTGTTTCATGTATGTGTGTGTGTTTTTTCACTGTGTCTTGCATGTAACGTAATTTTACGTCGCAAGACTATGAATCCATAATTGACAGCTAGAATTACGAAACGTGATCGTGACGGTCAAGGTCCAAGAAATAACAAAATCCTGCTGCATTCTGGGAAATGTATTTGTAGTTTCTTTTTAGCGTTTACCAATGACTAAAAGTCTGTATATCCTTGCATGCGCTGCAACAAAGATGACTATTTTATAAGCCTCTGATTCTAATTAATTGTATGCTGTTAGTTTTATTTACCATGAAATACATTTCTCAGGAACTTTCAACATTTTTTTTTTACTTACACATGAAGATTCCTCCTTTCTTTGCTCTCGTAGCACACATAAATAAAGATTACAAGCTCTAGAAAAAAGATGGATGTATATAAAACACAGTAATGAGTAGCTGCACCAACTGTTCTCGCTCTGATTCTTAACCTCTTCCGCAGCAACCTTGACATACGACACACTTCGCTTTGGAGAGTTTGAAGATTTTCCCGAGACCTCAGAGCCCGTGTGGATCTTGGGGAAAGAATATAATGCACTCACCGGTAGGACTGGATCACGGGTCTAAATGATCAGACATACTTTTCCCTGAATTTGTCTTGTAATGTAGTCACATCTGGTCCTCCTCCTAGAAAAAGATGAGATTTTATCAGACGTCACTTCACGACTGTGGTTCACATACAGAAAAAACTTCCCACCCATTGGTAAGTGGACACGTGTGTTTTTAGTTGAGCCCCCCCCCCCCCCATCTTCACTCGTGATGTCAAATTGATCTGCTGCTTGACCGCTGGATGTGTTACAGGTGGGACGGGACCAACGTCAGACACAGGATGGGGATGCATGTTACGGTGCGGCCAGATGATCCTAGGCGAGGCCTTGGTGTGTACACACGTAGGCAGAGGTAAGACATCCTTTCAAATACTACAAGAAAAAGGGACCTCCCGTGATTTTTTTTGTAAAGATACACGTAGGTCTTCTCACTGCGTGGCGTCTTCTCCAGAGACGAGACTTACAGGCTTGATAAGTTGCTCGGTGTTCTCAGATTGGAGATGGGCCAGAGGCCAGGAACAAAGAGAAGAGTACATCAGTATTCTCAACGCCTTCATCGACAAGAAAGACAGCTATTATTCCATCCATCAAATCGGTGAGTAGTGACTGTCGGACCCGAACAATTGGATCAGGGACCCTTCAGGCAGGAAAGAGTTTGCGTCATGTTTTTTTTTTTACCCCTGCAGCCCAAATGGGAGTTGGAGAGGGAAAGCCCATAGGCCAGTGGTACGGACCGAACACAGTGGCCCAGGTTCTAAAGTAAGTACCGTAGAGAAACAACACGCGGCTGATGTTTTTGGTAGTGATTCTTCTAAGCAATAACTCCATTATATTTGCAATTTAAAAAAAAGAAGCAAATATAACGCAGTTACTGTCATAGCTTCAGAACCAGAGGGGCATATCAGCACGTAGATATTCTGTCCAAAACAATGGTTCAAATTGATTTTGGTAGAGCGCAAAAGTGTGACTGTCTCAGTGTGCCGTCTTGGTTTTAGGAAGCTGGCGGTGTTTGACACGTGGAGCAGACTGGTCGTACACGTGGCGATGGACAACACGGTGGTCATCGAGGAGATCAGTGAGTGCGCTTTGACCGAGACGCCGGCTTAAACTGCGGCCTACGCTGCCATGGTTTGCACGTGCAGTACTTCAGCTAAACGTTGCATGATAAAGGCTGAAAACAAACACAAATTTGAGTTGGAGTAAAGGGAACTAGTTCATCCAGCGGCAGTATTTCAATGCCTTTGCCATGTGCACATACGCAAAGCGGCGATGTAAAAAAAAAAGGTTTGATCCTTTTCTGAATCATTAATGTGTTTCTTAACAAAGGCTACAACCGCCATGTTTTTCTGCAGCGTTATTTCTAGTCATTTTCTGATCTTTTTGTTCGTGACAGAGCGCCTCTGCATGCCTTGGCTGGACGCCGCCTGTTGCGAACCGGAGGGCGCCGCGGAGCTCAACGGCTGCCGGGAGGGGGCGTGTGCGCTGGCCGAGGAGGAGACGGCCCTCTGGAGACCTCTGGTCCTGCTCATCCCACTCAGGCTGGGCCTGAGCGACATAAACGAGGCCTACATCGAAACCCTCAAGGTGAAGCACCACCTTTTATGTGTTCTCATTAGTTGTCTCGAGTTGCATTACGCGTTACTTTTAATGAAAATAAATGAGATTTTTACTCTCACGGATCACCAACCTTAAGGAAGTAGGAAGGATCCCTGTATGCTTCCTGGTATCGTCTGCAAGTCATTCTTTCTCTAAGATGTTGCATTCTCAGCCTCTCATGTATGGGCGGGCTTAAAGCTGCTCCCTGGCTTAACGGAGGTCATACTGTGACCCATTGTCTTGCCTCTACATTGTGTGTTGGGTTGTCCGAAGTGCTTGCTGTAGATCTGCCCACATAGTGGCGCTTAACTTCCACTAAAACGCTGATAAACGGAGAAAGAAAACTGCAAACCAAACAATGTTTGCACTGTCATTCGTATGTTGTTTTCACTGAATGGGCCACGAGGTGACCAGCTACAGCTGGGGTAAGATAAACCCTCTCGTCTCTCTTCACAGCAATGCTTCATGCTGCCTCAGTCCCTGGGTGTTATTGGGGGGAAGCCCAACAGTGCCCATTACTTCATTGGTTATGTCGGTATGTCTGGTCTCTGTGTTTGTGAAATAAACACTCAGCGGTGCACCGCACACTCACCATAGTAATTCCACTCACACTAAAGGGATTGATGTGATTGCGGATCTTCGTTTTGATTTTTTTTTTTTTCCTTTCTCTTTTTTCAGGAGAAGAACTCATCTATTTAGACCCACACACCACGCAGCCCGCGGTGGATCCATGCGACGACGGCCAGGTCCCCGACGAGACGTACCACTGTCAGCACCCGCCCTGCCGCATGCACATCTGTGAGCTGGACCCGTCCATCGCAGCGGTAGGAACCCTAGGGGGGGAACACAGGGCTTTTTTTGTGTGTCTCAAACGTTTCATGTTAGTAGCTCAGTTGTCTGTAGCTTATTGTCTTCTGGTGTCCGCCAGGGTTTCTTCTGCAGAACAGAGGACGACTTTGACGACTGGTGTATGCGCATAAGAAGGGTACGTTTCCGTGAACACGGCGCTCTTGTCGCGCCCCGAGCGGCGCTTGAATGCCGTCACTGTCGGAGAAAGCGTGTGCGTCATGATGTGATGCTCCTTCTGTTCTAGCTGTCCTGCAACAGAGGGGGCCTGCCCATGTTTGAACTGGTGGACAGTCAGCCCTCTCACATGGTCAGCGCGGATGCCCTCAACCTTACTCCTGGTAAATAAAACAAAAACTAACTCCTCCAAAAACAGAAAATCTGTGAAATAGATTTATATTCTCTCTTCCCTTACGTTTGCTTGTCAGATTTCTCCGACTCGGACAGGCTGGAGCGCTTCTTTGATTCGGAGGACGAGGAGTTCGAGATCCTTTCCCTGTGAGGAACACACAAACGATGATTTACTATTGTGGACAGTCGGCGCGAAAGATTCTCTGTATCAGAAGGGGAAGCCTGAAGGGGACAAATATTAACTCAAGACCTCTTGAGCCCGTCCAGCTCCAATGGTGTGGTCAGTGCGTGTGAGTCACACAGCGTTCTTCACCGCTCTGTGTGCGAACATCGACCCCTCACAGACGCCGTAGCCGGAGCTCAGGATAAATTCTGTATGCACATCACCACATCGCGCGTGCGTTTCCATTCGAGTCTTAACACTTTAAATGTTTATTCTGAAGTGATATGGTGCCTTTCCCTGACTCCAGAAGTTAAATTGCCATAACAGTTTTATGTTGTATAGAAACCCCAATGGCTTAAACGCGGTTTGTCACTAACTACTCCAATCAGCCTGCAATGAAACCAAATCTGCAGACTATTTGCATTAACTGTTCATGCAAAGTATCCTTGCCATGTTTGAAAGAAACTCATGCGCTACTTCATTTGAAGATTATTTATTTAATCAACACTGCGTAAACAGGTGAAAATACACATGTAAAAAGGTTAGAAACGAATAAAGTCAGCATCTGGTATTTGACATTGGTTCGACTCTTCCATTTCAAGACTGAATCAAAATCATATTTGCAGTTCTCATTTGCCCTAAAAAGACATACGGTGTGTAACATTTGATTGTGGATTTTAAAAAAAAACGGCAGCCCCCTCGAGTTCACTTCCACAGCTCTCCGAGCGGCAGGCTCTGCGCCGCGCTGACGGTGTGGAGGCTGTGGCTGCTGATGCTCTTGTGCACGTCGTCGACACTCTGAGAAGCGTCGATCACCTGCAGCAGAGAACGCACAGCGTCTATCGCACGTGGTTATAACAGACATCCAGGATTAAATAAGCAAGCCGGACCGGCCTCACACCTGCCAGTTGACGGTGGAATCCTTCCTCAGCTCTTCGAACTGCTGTTGAACCGCTCTTTGGAAAGCACTGGTCTCGTACCGCTCCTCTCCGAACTGACCCCTGAGAGCCGCCTCGGCCGGACTGAGCTGCAGGAACATCACCAGGTCCGGCTTTGGCAGCCCCACGTCGGGTTTCATGCACCAGTCCAGACTGAAGCCCTGGAGGGGGAGACGAACACGCTCAAGCGTGCTTGCTTGCTTGTTGCTGCTCCTCTCCAACGCCCACACACATCATCATGCTGTCTGATGGCCGAGAGAGACTCACCGGCTTTGCACTTGTGAACGCGGCTCCGGAGAAGGCGTAGCGATCCACCACGAGAGTGATTCCCTCCTCCAGCTTCTTCTTCATCAGAGGCCTGCAGCCACGATTGTTAGAAGCATGATACCTTTAAGCGTTGAATGATTACGACAACAATGCAACTTACTGCATTTACTCAAACTTCTGTGGTTTAAAGAAAAGGATAAAAGCGTGCTGTTATTTTTTTTTTTGTAGACAATCTAATGGAAAGTTAGACATCAGTCTGTATGCTCGACGCCCCAAGCCCATTGACACCCAGTGAGGACTCAAAAGTCATACATTTATGGTTTTATTTTTCAGATGGACTCAACAATGCACTTGTTTAGCTAAGTTGACTTGTCCTTTAAGCTATTAGCCGCCTGGACGTTCACGTTAACTGGACTTACACTCGTTCCCAGCGGTTGGCGGAGAACAGCAGATGCACCGTGTGGTCCTCCAAGTCGCTCTTCTTCTCCAGGTAGGCGCTGATCAGCTGTCCGATGGTGGTGCTCCGGTCTGGCAGAGAGAAACCGCACCACCACACGTTGTGTTAATGTAACACTCGGGCTGCAACTAACGATTCTTTTCTAAGAATTTTTTCGATTAGTCAACTAATCTAAACGATTATTTACCACAGTGTAGAAACAAAGAAAGAGGCAAGTATTCCTTTTGGCTACAACGTGTGGCTGTTTATTTCCATCCAATAACTTTGGACTTTGAACTTCAAATGTATTTGAGTAACCAGTTAATACAGAGGTAATCCTCATAATAAATTCATTGAATACTAATACAAATAAGTGCAAATGTGTTTAAAAGTAAATAGTGCAAATAAAGTTGTGGAAGTAACTCAAAATGGTAAAGTCTTTGCAGGTGACGAACATGTTGATGTTCTCGATCCAGATGCTTTCATTGTAGACTGTTCACAGAAAAATCCCTCCTGAAACACCATATATGAGAAGTTCCCCCTCAGGATCCAGTTAAGCTGCGCTGAGGAACCTCAGAGCTCCGCTTTGGTTCGCTGATGAAATCCTCCCAGACTTCTTCGACTCCCACGTTCAACTCTATTAAATTCGTATTTTCCTTGGTGCATGTAGACAATAGAAGCGATGGCGCCTCAGCACGTTCTGTACTGTATTGCAATGCTGAATGAAAAAGACCCGCAGCTCGGAATCTTTTTAGAAAAGACGACGCGTCGACGATAGAAATCCGCGTCACTTCGTCGATCGTCGCAGCCTCTGTTACACAGCAACGGAACAACACGAACGCTGACATTAAGCCCTTTATTACAACAATTTTGACCAATGGATAGCCATGACTTTTAACATTTGCATGACTAAATATGTTGTGTAATCTCAGTGTATGAATGACAATGTGTTTAAACAATGTCTTTCTCCTACAATTTAATTAAGCCCCAATAAACGGTTTAACGTTTACAATTATTCACTAGGGATAGGCATCGGTGGGTTTTTCCTAAAGCGGAATATATATTTTTTTCCCGTTTTTAGGAAAAACCCAACGAACATTAACGTTAGTTAATTTGGGGAATATTAATAATTTAATTTTAGAATCATACCCATTGTGCAGAAACTAAAGGTGCGATTTAAAAGCTGTTATGCTGGATCGACACGCGTATTTTGTCTTTTGATTTATTGGCAGCTCGATTACAGCTTGGTGACAAACACCGAATGAACGCGCGCTCTGTGGCCGGTAGCCGAGGGGGGAGGGGGGGAGACGTGCTGTGATGGCTCCCGCTTCCTTCAGCATGGCTCGTTAATGCCGCGCTCCCATGCTGGAAATGTCCAAGGTTTTCCCCACAAACACTTGTTCCCCCCCCCTCGTGACCTTTTCACGGCTCTTCATGACCGTAGGAATCGTGAACGCGCCTCACCGGGGAACCGCATCATCTCCGCCGGCCGGCCGCTCTGCTGCAGCGCGTGGACCAGCCTCGCGCACTGCGTGGTTTTTCCGGCCTTGTCAACGCCTTCCAGCACGATGAGCGCGCCCCTCGCGCGCGCCATCGCCGGACCCGCTTCCTCGGCACGGGGCTGCGGGCTGAGCGAGCGAGCTTCGTGGCAAAATCTACGCACGGGACGGAAGTTTCCTCTTCACCATTTGCCCGCGTTTTGTCAAAGCCTCTTCCGCTTCTCTTCTTCTTCTTCTACTTTTTTGGTTTACTGGCAGTTAGCCTCTATCTTATTGGTGCATTACCGCCACCTTCTGCCCCGGAGTGTGGATCACACACTATGCGTCCTATCCTTCTGCGAATGTACCCCTCCCTCCACAAAAAAAGAAAATGAATAAGTAAATAAAAATAAATCAAAGCTGCAAACAGCGTTGGGCGGGTCCTCGCTACTCGGCCGCACGGCTAGAAACGCAGCCAAGAACTCCTGCGGCCGCCGAACAAAGCGTCCAAGGGTCAGTTGTCGTTAATGATCGACCATAAGGATCGACACCAGGAAGGCCGCTTTGCAAAACTTCATCTTTAACATCCAACTTCCATCAAAATCTAATTCACGAGGATTAGTTTCAAAAGGATACTATCAATAGTTACAAGATAATTTCAATTAAAATTGATAGTACACATCCCCAAGGTGTCATCCAGGGATAACCAGGACATTCGGATGCACCATTCCAAAATTAAAGCCTCTCAAAATACCATACATGAGCCCATTTCTTTCAAAATCCTTCACGAGACTACTTCTGGTCAATGTCAGGTTAGAATTAAAAGGAAACTAAATAGTTTAGAAACTAAATAGAAATAATCATTTCTAATAATTAATTAGTAATACTTATTAATATTAATACTATTAATATTAATAATAATATTCCTTTAAAGAAGATTCAGCCGAGCAGAAAAGACACACTGTCTTGTTGTCTATGTCTTTTTGCTCGTCTGTAGTCATTGGCAGGAGAAGTGACAAGAGAAAGTTCACCGCTGCTGAGGGCGGACCGAGGAGGAAGAGGAGGCTGGTCACCGAGGACAGCGAGGACAGCGAAGACAGCCACCGTAAAAGAGCTCGAGGTAAGTGAGGAATCCAGACAGACGTCTGCGTTAACTGGTGCTGATGTTCTATTGGACTTGCTGGAGAAGGCTGGGTACCTCGAGTAAACCTTTAAGTAAACCTCTGATTCCTACTGTGGTTGTTGGGTATTTCCCCCATATTGGGCATTTCTGGGAGGATCTTCTAGAAATGATAAAATATTCCTTTAAAGAAGATTCAGCCGAGCAGGAAATCCACACTGTCTTGTTGTTGTGGTTTTTTTGCTCGTCTGTAGGAAGGGACAACGCCTCTGTGGACGGACAGAGGAAGAGGAGGCTGAGGACGGCGAGGACAGCGAGGACGGTGAGGACAGCGAAGACAGCAAGGACAGCGAGGCGGAAACCAAACAAAGTCAGTAGTTTTAGGCTTTATTAAATTGGTAATACCATCGTAGGATGGGCAGAGTTTAGGTGACATATATATTCGCTGTCACTCACAAATGTATTAAAACATGTTTGGGTCTGCAGAAGAGTTTGAGGCCAAATATATAGAACTGGATCACATCGGGGCAAGAGGACGTGCATCTGTGTATGCCGGCCGCCGCAGAGTCGACGACGTACCTGTACGCGTTACACACACGTTCCCAAACACACACACAAACACACACTCTCTAACAAAAGTCTCGTTTCCATCTCGTAGGTTACCATCAAACATATCAGAAATGAAAACGTCTACTGCACACATGTGGTGAGTGAGCAACGCCTTCTACTGTCAGAATATTCTGTGTTCGAAACTCAGTCTGTGAATGCATCACGGAGGAACCGCTCTGATCCTCAACTCTCGCGTGACGTTACAGGACGACAAAGGGAACGTGATCCCCACAGAGGTCGCCGTCATGTTGAAGCTGGCGGCCGAATCGGATGGGACATCGTCACACGTGTCCCTGCTGGACTGGTACCAGTTGGTGGGGGAGCTCGTGCTGGTGATGGAGAGGCCGATGCCCGCTGAGAATTATAATAACTTTCTCCCGTACAATAAATTCTATGTGAAGAATGAAGAAGACGTCAGGGTGAGGCGCTGTGATCAGCTCAGAGGCACAGCGATGAAAGCGTGGCGACGCATCTTCCTCTGATCCCTCGTCTCTCTCCTTTTGTCCGTTAGATCATCCTGAGGCAGCTGGTCGACGCAGCGATCGATCTGGAGAGCAAGAACGTTTTCCACCGGGACATAAAGGCGGAGAACATGCTGATTGAGACGCGCTCGGACTTCCCGCGGGTTCGCCTCATCAGCTTTGGAGTTAGCTGTTTTGATGATAAAAGACAGGCTCACGAGGACTTTTGCTCCCGTTCTTCACCAACCCGTCTGTGACTTTTACCGTGGAACGAAGCTCCTCATCCTCACCGTTTTGTTTTATTATGTCTGTAATTTCTAGATCTGAAGACCCCAGAGTTCTACCTCGAAAATGGATACAGAGCAGGACCAACCACAGTGTTCCAGATCGGAGTGGTGCTGTATAATGCCCTCCACATGAGGAAAAGGTTCAACACGTTGGCGTTCATTCAAGGATTTCGGTCTCTCCCACCCAAGACCTCCAAATGTAAGAACATTACACACAAACATGTCGAGAGACACAAATCTGCTCCTTTTATTTCACATTCCGATGATGGTCCTCACCGTTCTTCTCTTTCTCTCTCCAGCCTGCAAGGACTTCCTCCTGATGTCCCTGAGAGTCAATCCCAACAACCGTCCAACGCTGGAGCAGCTCAGGAATCACCAGTGGCTCAGATAATGCCATAAGACCTACCTGCATTCTCAATACAGATAATTCACCTCAATTTATAAATTAGCAAACTACAACAATGTGAATGTTGATATGTGTTTTGAATAAATCCGCAAGCTATAACTAATAGTACATATTAATAGGTTGACATAATATGAAATTATAAAGCTTGTGAAGTACATAACCTGTGATTATGTCCTGTATCCAAAACATTCCTTCCTGTCTTGATATTTCTCAAACAATATGATGAAGCCTCCTGAATGGCAAAATTCCTTAGAGGAAAAAAATAAGAATAAGAATTCCTTGAAATACAATAGGTTCCTCTACGGCTCGTCCTAGCGAGGACCCTAATAAACACACTATCTATATATATATACACACACATACACACTCAGACCATCAGATCCAGAACCAGTATCTTATCGAGCAGAAGTGTTTGGTTCTGGAGTCTAAAGTAACAGGGTTACTCTCCACCCACGTTTCTCTTCAAGAGGAGCTGCACGAGCAGCAGGCCAACAACCACCAGTTGGAAGCAGAACACAAACTGCTGAAGATCAAGACAGAGGCTCTGGCTGCTTTACAAAAGAGCCAAGAGGAGACTCACCACGAGATGGTCACAAGCAGTGATTTCACTGAGCTGTGCCTGATGCCAAAGATCCGACACATGGAGGGTACCATCCCCAAAGGAGATCAGATCCTCATCACCCGGATCCAAGAATTAGAGGACTGTGAAACAGTCCAGAGCCACACAACACAACTACTGCTGATCATTTATTTGTCCTTGATCACTTTTACAGCATACAGATGTGACATGTTACATTTTGTTCTTGTGACAGTGTTTGAGAGCGTCTTTTAGTGCTGCCAGCACCATGTCAACGTTGGCTTTGCTGCTGTTACATCCCATCAGTCCAACACGCAGCACCTAAAACAACAAAAACAACTGGGGTTCAGGATCCACAGGACTTGAGTGACTCGGAAGGCAAAGTCAAGCAGAAATGACTTGTTATGGAAAGTGTTTTTACGGATATATCTCTTACCAAACCAACTGATGGTCCGAGCCCTCCGGAAATCTCTAAATTATGTGTTTTCATGAGGTAGGATGTTATATCTTTCCAGTCGTATCCATGAGGAGCAACAATCGTGGTCACCGTGGGGAGCCTCGCATTCTGTCGCAACAATTCATGTCAGAAATGATCATCCCCCCTTCTTTCTTTTTAGATTATATATTACTATTAAATGGTAGTGTTTAAACTTAAATCTCACTTTTTCTTTGACAAAAAGTTTGAGTCCCATGCTTTCTAGGGCAGTGTGGAAATACTCAGCCACTTTTTGATGTCTTTCCCATGAATTCTCCAGGCCCTGAGAGTAACAGAATGGATATTATGGTACAGCTGAGGTGATACTGTGTAATAAATGCTGAAAATGAATACATATATATGTGTATCTATATGGTTATGCTATGCTAAAATGGTAATGCTACCATATATGATATTTACCATGTTCACATGTTATTTTAGCATGCTAACTTTTTCTACTTGAGTCCGTCTCAAGCCAATAGCCAACTGGCACAGAGTTTGATTGCTATATTTCTTCAATCACTGTACAACTTGCATAATTGCTATTTAAAAAAAAAAAGCTCAGATGGAACTTCATCACTCCAACACGTCCCACCTCTTCAGCAAGCACAGCCAGACTCTCCCTCAGGGAGTAGAAAGCAGTGACTGGGCCTGTGTGGTGATATCTATGGAGAGGAAATAGAAAAGACAGAGCAATATTCACATGAATCTGAAATGCAACGGGTTCCTGTCAGCAGTTGGGGGAAAAAAGACGTCTTACACTCTTGACGGCTTTCCATCACATCCCCAGTAGTTCGCGAGCCAACTCAAATCCAAGCAGAACGACACTGGCTTTGTCCTGCGGCTGAATATCTTCTGGCTGTGGACAGATGCATCCTTAAATACACGTTGCACACACTTTCACTGTTGCTTGCTTCTACACATCTCACCATGCTCTTTCACTGAAGGAGATGGGTGCTGTACCCGGAGGCGCGTTCAAAACCTTTTGGGAGCCTGTGTACAGGATGTCTATCCCTGAAAATACAACAACAAAATATATTTTTGTGTGACAGAAAAAGACAAGACAGGACAATACATGCATTTGACCTTCCCAGTGAGGCTGGGGATATGTAGCAGGATCTAATCCTGAACCTTGCCGGTCCATGTGCAGAGGGGCCCCTCCGATTGACGCCACAGAGTCGACGAGAAACAAGCAGTTGTACCTGCAGGCACAAAGGGAAACATGACAACTATCTGCCCTTCCTCTTGTCACGGATCTGATGATGCTGGAAGCATGAGCGCTGCATCTCACTTAAGGCACAGCTGCCCAATGCCCTCTAACGGATGCAGGACTCCTGTGGAAGATTCTCCGTGTGTCAGGAAGAACAGCACTGGTCGGTGTTTTGAGAGGGCCTTTGATGAGATAACGCTGAGGTCACATGGTCTGAATGGACTTGAGCAATCTGATAGCTGTATAGTGTGTGTGTGTGTGTGATACCTGCTCAATTTCTGCATTGGTGAAGAAAACCCCAGGCGCCGCCACCATGGTGTTCACTCTGCCTCCTGTACACACAGTTATTGCTTCGGTACACTTCTCATTGTCAACAAACCCCTTAAAAACGAGCCACACTATTTAACTGCGTGAAAAATCAATGAAACCTTCAGCCTCACCTATCCTGTCAGCCATGTCTGCTGCTCGCTCTCCCCAAATGCCGTTGACCGCGGTCAGCACGCTCTCCCCCGGCTCCACTGCGTTGCAGATGGCACACTCCATGGCGGTGTGGCCCGTGCCGCTCACTGCGAAAGTCATGCTGTTCCGAGTCTGGAACATGTACTGGATTCCACTTTTGATGTCGCTCATTATCTGTGACATACAAAATATGGGATGGGTGATCGGGGGGGGCAACATTTAAATCTGTTCCATCATGAAGGCAAACAAGTTGCTGGTATGAAGGAAGGAAATAAGCCACAAAGTGGTTTCTTACACTTCTGTGATAATAATATCGTTGAACCCAACACATTAGTTTGGGATTTCGTTGGAAATAACATTGATAGTATTGGCTTTTGCACATTCTAATGTGCATTTTTATTGATTCTTTCATATATCCTAACATTCAAACTGGACAAAAGTGTTTTCGCCATGCAGGAATGACCTCACAATAATGGTTTAAAACTGGAGTGGGCCAAAATGGGTTTTTAAATTCATAAGATCCATCATCTCTTTGGTTGGTTATTTGTTTTGTACTAACGTGTATATGTACGTAGTTACTGGAGTAAGGAAACATCACATTTTAATATCCAAGTTAAGTACAAGAACATTAAAACCATACTTAAGGACACTGCACCCCCCCCCCCCCCTCCTTAATCCCCCTTCATTAACTCGAATATTTCTGGATGCATGTGTCCAATGACAGGGCGGGCCCCGGCCTGCAAGATCCGCGGAGAAACGTTTGAAGGTCCCGGTCCGAACATGTGACGATGAGGAACCACCAACGGTTTCTGCAGGCATTTCGGGGGGGGCACGGAGATGGACGACATGTCTCCCAGCAAGCGCGACAAGCAGTGAAAACCACCAAAAGCCGTTGAAGCAGGTAAAAGTCAAGCCTGGGCTGAGCTCCGCCCCCTCAGTCCGACCAGTGGCGTCCTCCGGGTCAGGAGTGTGTCACAACATTTTCTGCTTTTATCTGCGGCTTCTTCTGTCAACACTTGTTGCCTTCTGCTCACAATGAGCTCAGGTAGCTGGAAGCGTTTTAAAGGGAAGTCACCCAACACGTCCTCTGATGTTAATCATTGGCCCACAGGCTGCGCTTTTGCTCCAGTAAACAGGAGGACATGTGCCTGGCAAGTGCTCATCTTGGCCTCCATTTAAAATCCCTTCATTTCAGATTCTGTCACGTTACAGCTCGTAAGATTGACAGATGTATTGGTATAGATCAATCAAGATATCTTATAAGATATCTATATAAGAGATAAAGAGACATATGTTTATATATATATGAAAATGTATTCGCATAAGGTCAACCACTGTAGGAAGTCTAGCACGAGAGTTTTAAGATGATCACCCCCATGCAGTAATGCATTTTAATCATCTCCAGCAGGAGATTATGGATTCAGTCATAAGTGTGTGACCGTATGTGTGTCGTTCTGCTGCTCATCTCATATACTACTGCAGCCATCAGCTGGATATCTGTTGTGCTAATTTATGCTCATTTAAATGTATGCGCAAGGTCCTCTTGCAGTTGCAGGGATTCAAACTCTTTTGGAGGGAAGTTGTGTCGATCAATAAGGAGGCTGAATTATATGTTACTTTTTCCACAAGCCAAACATCTTGTTTTCAGAAACAGAGTGTGTGGCAGGGGTCTTCAACGTTTTTCAGGCCGAGGACCCCCAAACTGATGGCGACATGGAGCAGGGACCCCCTATTTGGGCCGCCATCTTTTATTTGTGAGCCCTGAACACGTCTAAAGCCCTCTTTAGACGTGAATATGAACGCGATCTGATTGGCTGGTGCCCGTGCTGTCGTATTTGCATGACCGGTGCTGTGAGTGAACCGGTGCCCAGCTTGAGAGTTGCTGTGTGTAGCTGAATGTGTGCGTTGCGGATTGTCTTCTCCGTCAATGTATCTGTTCGCTACGATATGTTGGATTCATGTTAATGTGTATTTAAAGACAATAAATACAATTCTGAAAACATTTAAATTTGTGTAAAAAAATTGGTTGAAAAAAACAAAACAAAAAATTGTCTTATTGACGCAAAATTTCGGAGGTTTGGGTTTACAATTGTTGTTTACCAGTTTCTCAAAGGCTTGACAAAGAATGCACTGTTTAATGAGTATATATTTATTTATGCCTTTGTCAGTTTTCCCACTTTTTTTTACAAATCCAAATTGCAATGTTTAAATAAAATCGAACAAAAAGTATACATGAATTGTGAGAGATGACGAACACAGCGCCACTCTTTTCGGACTCAGAGAACACAAAGATTTGGATTTGTTGATGTTTATTACAGCTTGTTGTCACGGAGCTTCACAGCTGGACTTGGTTTTCCCTCGGAGGGACGAGGAGATGCTTCCCCAGAGGCTCGGGGCAGAAGGAGCCCTCTCTGTACACCAGCTGGCCCCGGACTATGGTTGCACACACCACTCCTCGCAGTGTAAGGCCCAGGTAAGGAGTTAGCTGTGCACACACACACACACGATCATTATCTTAGTCACAATTTTCATTGATTCAATTGATTCACGTGGCTTACCTTGTTTTTATGATGTATGCTCGCTTCTTTAATCTGTGAAGAAAATGAAAGGGATACAATGAAAACACGCCCTTCTCGATCCCTAAATACGGAAGCAGATTGCAATACTGACCTCAAACTCCTTCTCTGGGTCCCATACGACCAAGTCGGCATCATAGCCGGGGGCCAGGGAGCCCTTCCGGTTGTCAAGACTACCCAGCCGGGCTGTTTGCTGGCTGAGGAGTCTCGCCACGTCAGACAGCTGGAAGCCTCTCTTACTGGCTGAACTCCAGAACAAAGGCAAACCTGCAAATGGTTAACAAGTAAACATTGTGCATTGGACTCTTCCTGGTGTCAGACTTTGACCCCCCCCCTCCCCTGTTGCTGTGAACGACCAGTAAATAATTGTTCATTCCTCTAAAGCTTGTTTACCTCCCTGTGAACTTTGCCCCGCTGTGTGTGTGTGATTGTCGGATGGGTTATGGGTCGGAGGAGACGCGAGGGAGGCGGCCTGCTAATCCACTCAAAGAGACCAATTTGCATATACATTCCCTGTAATGTTGCACAAGCCAGGTTTAAGTGTCCAGTGTCCCTGCCAGGCTACAAAAGCACAGCACTGGGATGTAAATTCACAAACCAAATCTGTGCGGTAAGCGGTGGAGTAGGTCACATGATGCCTCTCGTATCAGTCCCTGGTAAAACGAATCGTTCAGTGGAGTCATTTGGTTTTCCCAGTACAGAGAAATGAGCTACACATATCACACCTGTTTCTTCTGCCATCGCTTTAGACACGTTTGACTCTGCTTTGAGGATGGGCATTTTAACACTGGATGGAGTCACTTTTATGTTGTCACTAGTCCATACCAAACTGTAGAGAAGAAATTCCACCCCAGGCCTCAGTGAAGTCTCCGTTATCCAGTTTCTTCAGGTCCGGGGTGCAGGGCGAATGATCCGACACCACCATGTCAATCTGCCCGGCTTTCAGCGCGGACCACAGCTGCTCCTGTTGGGGGCAAAAATCCATCCAATCCATCAGAGAATATTACAACGCAGTTTTACGTTGAACCTCACCACACTACCGTGCATCCTCTTCTCTTTACCTGGTTCACAGATCCTCTGATGGGGGGGCAGCACTTGAATTGTGTGGCCCCCGCAGGTATGTCCTCCGCACACAGGCTGAGGTAGTGATGGGTGGTCTCTACCGTCAGGGGGGCTCCGGCCTGCCGGGCCTCCCGGATCAGCTCCAATGGCTTAGCAGAGGACAAGTGAACGATATGGCACCGCACTCTGAAGCAGAGAGAGTTAGCTCGGTGTAGCATCAATGCTACGACTACAAAGAGGAATCCTCTGATGCTCTTACTGGTACTGGAGACAGAGCGCTGTGATGGTGCGAATAGCCTCCATCTCCATGATATCTGGTCTGGACTGCAGAAAGGTGGAGTACTGACGAGGGTCTAGTGGTGCAGGCAAGGTATGGAGTTTAGATACAGTATCAATACCGGGAACCTTTGCAGATTACACTCAAATATTATTTGGGCCAAAATAAAGTAACAGCATTTTCAGATGTTCTGGCTCAGAGCACGTCCCAATATTGCTATTCCAATCCTGACATGTGAGTCGTTGACTTTCTTACTGGGCCACATACTTAAATTGATCTACTTTGTGCTGTGAAATGTTACCGCCATTCTCCTGTGTTGTCTGCTGAACGTCCACCTCTGCATGAAACTGAAGGGAGACGAACCAGAGGATATTTCAGGGATATTTGCAGCTCTCTATGCGGGAATGTTATGGAAGGCGCTGCGGGTGGTCGGTTACCAGCAGGACACTTCCGGTGCCTTGCAGCTGCGCCATGGCTGCGTGTAGATCCTGCTCCGTCACATGGGGGAACTCCTCCACCCCGCTGTGGATGAGGAAGCACTTGAAGCCAGCCACTCCCGCCTGGATCATGGGCCGCAGCTCAAGCTGTACAAAGGAGACACCCGGTGTTCGATCGTAAACATCAGCACGGTTTGGCTGAGAATGCCTTTTTTTTATACCTGCTCCACCGTACCTGATTGCCAGGAATCACTCCTCCCCAGAAGGCCGTGTCCACAAAACACTTCCCTGTTGCCTCGAGCTGCTTCTCGTGGAAATTTCCAACCGTGGTGGTTGGAGGGATGCTGTTTCTGTGGGAGTTTTAAATAAAAAAATAAGACAAAACTTCCAGCTGGCAACTTCAAATCAAACTGTTCTCTCATGCCAGCGAATGGCAAAGCGGGAGAAAAGGATGGTGGCTTTTTCAGCTCCTTTTTTGTGATTAAAAATCAACAATGTAAAAGACAAATGTCAAATTACCAGTTGTAATCATTCATGCTTCTACACATGTGATCTTTGCCCAAGGAGAGGCGTTATCTTGCTGTCTGTTTACCCAGCACTGGTGGCCTTGTAAGGTCAGACTGTGGGGTTTTCATTGATTTACGGGAGCAAGCTTACAGCGGCATGTCCACGATAGTTGTCACCCCTCCAGCTGCAGCGGCCCTGGTGGCGGTCCAGAAGCCCTCCCAGGAGACTCGGCCTGGTTCGTTCACGTGAACATGGCAATCGACGATGCCTGGCATCACCACGCTGTCGCCCACGTCCAACACCTGCCATCGCAACAACGCCATCGTTTGAAGGGCCAATAGATCATTAGGAGGGTTGAATCAATGCATGTGACCGTGCAAACCTACAGGGGGAAAATCGGAGACCAACGAGGGCCGGCTTACCTCACCTCCGGGAAAGTCGCTGTCAGAGAGGATTTGATGGATCGTCCCATCCTTTATCACGATGACAGCAGGACGGACCTGGTCGCCCAGTAGAACCCTTTTGCTCCTCACAGCACCAACCGAGGATCCCGGCTCCATGGCTGTCTTCACTGAGAGTTAATGAGGACAATAGACTCTGTTTGGCAGGTCAGCTGCCTGCAGGCCCCACCTCCCTTGCCGGTTCAAAGAATAAGCATTTGTTGACTTGTCAGGACATGCTGCAGTTCAGACATGGTGCACAGTGTCAGGATCAACCCTTACTTGTCTGCATGTCTGAACACCTCATTCACTCATATCTACCCTGTCCTTCACATAGGTGCTGCTTTGTTGGTGACAATATTTGTTCTTTAAATCTCTTTTCAACAGAAAGATGCTTACTGGGATATTACACATATACTCATATTGCTGTATGCTGAACAACAATGTTTTGACCCCCTTAATATATGTACATTACTTCATTTTACTCACTTACTGCTCATTCAAACTGTATAAAGCCACTTGCTTTCTGTATTGCACATGATGTCATACCAATTACTTTATAGAGATAACATCAAACTGTATAAAAAAAAACCTTTGGACTCCAAGTTTGTGCTTAATGCTGCAGGGATCGACTTCATCAAAAGAGTATTTAATATAAATACAGGTATTACCAAAAAGCACGACACCTATACTTGTTATTTAATCAAAATCATATTTGAACGAACATATAACGAGCTGTTATTTACCTACGGTGCAAAATATCAAACCTACTCTAGTTGATATGATATAATGCTGATATAATATAACAGTAGTACATCATCGGCGTGACTGCGGTTGCAGTCCATTGGCTGCCGGTCGCTGTGCGGCCGAACGGGGATGCTGCTCCATCCTCCTCCCCGGCGACGCGGCGCGTCGTGACGCCGGCGGACAGAAGCAGCCCGGCGGCCTCACAGCCTCGTTATGTAACGCGTCGGATGCTGCTGCAAGGCGCGGAGTAGCCGAGTGGAGGAGGCGCGCAGGTGGAGCCTGGAGGATGCTCGGCGCAGAGGCCGATAAGCGCGGCGTGTGTTTGACGCGTGGACGCGCACACGGTCTGGAGGAACGATGACGAGGAGCGCGTCGCTGTAGCGCGGAGTGAGCGAGCCCATCTGGGCATCAGTGGCCTACATAACCCGAAAGGAGAACCGGCCCCTGGAGCCTCTGGAAGCCGCTGCTTTTTCTCCGTTTACTGCTTGACCGACCGGGTCCGTCCACCCACACCAGCGGGGAATAAACCGATGCGGCTTCGCTTCGGGGAAGAGACGCGTTCGTGTTTTGTTCCCCGTCGCACCGGTTGGAGCCCGCGCGGGCCCCGGCCGCCCCGCTGCAGCACGAACAATGGCGGGTCCCGAGCGGTCCCAGCAGCAGCAGCAGGTGGAGGAGAAGGCCGAGCAGCTAGATGATGCCGAGATGGCCCTGCAAGGCATCAACATGCTGCTCAACAACGGCTTCAAGGAGAGCGACGAGCTGTTCAGGAGATACAGGTACGTACGTGATGCATGCAGAACCCCCCCCACCTCTCCCAAAACATCTCAGTGGAAATGGGAACACTGCGTACGACATGTTTTTCTGCGAGAACAGCCCCCCACATTTAAGGCAGGGCCCTTCAGATACATTACTAAATAGGCTATACGGTTCCAGATGCATGTGGCCGGTCAGCGGGGGGGGGGGGGGGCGCTCCAGCTGTGCGTCTTAACATCATCACCCACCTACATTTTATTGAACCTTTCTAACAGACACTGTTGCATTTTTGCAAATGTTAAGTGGGGGGGAAGTGGAGGCCCTCGCGTCAAAGGGGGGGGCGGTGAGCCGCGGCGTCCGTCGTGACAGCTGAGCGCCGTGGTCGCTGCACCTGCCCGCCGGGGGGAGGGAAGAAAGACAGCGGGCTTTGGGTTGTAAACGTGATTGGTTGTGTCTGGCTCGACAGTGAACGCATCTCTGTCCCCTCCTCTCATCTCCGTAGGACCCACAGCCCGCTGATGAGCTTCGGGGCCAGTTTCGTCAGTTTCCTGGTGAGTTTCATCTCCGCTGGTGGTGAATATGGTTATGGGGGGGGGAGAACCCCGCCCGATATCACCCGAAATGACCCAACCTGTCAAATTGGACGCTCGCTGTTGTCACCAAGGGCCTCCTCTGCTCCGCACTTCCGCCCATTAACATAATGGATGGAGCTTCCTCTCAAGAACAAAAGCACATTCAGCTGAAAGGCTGACGGGAGATTCTTCGCGCTGTGATGGTCACACACACACACACACACACGCACACACACACACTCACACTCACACAACATGAAGCCACAGATGATGTCATCCTCTGTCCACCAGACACTAAATGGCCCCGGAGGCATCTGAACATCATGGTGGGCATTCATACATGCAGTATGGAGAGAACGCCGCATAACGGGAATCCACGAATGTCCGTCGAATCCCTCCACATTTGTCTACCTCAGTTTTTCGTTGACGCTGATCCGAAGACATTTCAGCTGCGTCGCATCCTCAAAGTTCCGGCTGCAACGGACGTCGGCGCGTTCCCTCCGCCCGCTGTCACGCAGACACGGCCCTTTGTCCGTTTCCGTGACTTGTTTCGTAACACTCCTTCCCTACTGTCAAAAGATGTGTTGTGCCAGCTTGAGCACACAACAAGACAACGCATGGCTGCTTCATTTTGAGGACGTGTTGACCGCTTTGCGTTGCAGAACGCCATGATGACATTTGAGGAGGAGAAGATGCAGACGGCCTGTGACGACCTGAGGACCACGGAGAAGCTGTGTGAGAGCGACAGCGCCGGAGTCATAGAGACAATCAGGAACAAGATTAAGAAAAGTGTGAGTACAGCGCTGTGAACGGTTAAAAAAAACCAACAATTTTAAATGTACAGTAAACCTCATATTAAAGATTGGTAAGTTATTTTTTATACTGTTTCCATGAACACTTTGCTTTAAAAACAAGACTAACATTGGTTCTTTTGTGGGATTCTTAGCAGAGAAACTTTTACAGATGTTAATTGTTCTATAAGCTGTTACTAAATTAACTAATGAATAAGTTGTATAATTGTTTGTTGACGGAGGATTTTTTTTATTTTACGACCCCTCGCATCGAAACTCTGATAATACTGTTTCTGTCAAACACAAATTTTTCCCACGTAGAGAAATATTTGCGTCAACAAATTCCGCCGTCTTTGAAGTCTCCTGATTTTGCCGCCAGGACAGTCTGCTTTTTAGATAACAATGTTTATATCCTTGGCGTCGTGCCTGATGATCCAGCCGGCAGTGAGATCATTCCAAACCCACTCACAGATTTAATTAGTGCTTCTGTGAAATGTAATCAACAAACTGGGCGAGCGGTGTGGGGGCTGGCTAGCAGCTACGGGTCATTCAGCATGCAGGTAATGAGTAATACTGCTGTGTGTGTGTGTGTTGCAGATGGACTCCCAGAGGTCAGGCGTTGTGGTCGTGGACCGCCTACAGAGGCAGATCATCGTGGCCGACTGTCAGGTGTACCTCGCCGTGCTCTCCTTCGTCAAGCAGGAGCTTTCAGGTACCGAGAGAAGTAGATCCAGGTGATGGTGATGTCATACCACCGTGGAGCCCGCTGGGATATATTCATTAGGATTAACTGGACAATACCATTACTGCTTCTGCGCTTATGTGAAGTCAGATAATAATATATCAAATAATATATTGCTATAATAATACATTATTTTTATTATAAGGGAGTATAACGATACAAAGAAACACATTGTTGGTTGGTACAAACGGTTCATACTACGCTACGCTACGCATATTATTGTAATGACGGATAATATTTATCTTTTTTAACTGACATGTAAGAAGAAGTCTCATGTGAAGTACGCCTTACCGTGCTTGAATATATGTGGTATATATATAACTAGTTGGCATGCTAACTTAGCTAATTAGCATGACGAAAACTAAAAAGATCACTAAAGGGAAGATGAAGAGTTGCTGAGACATTTAGCTCGGAGAACCGCTGCTACTGAGGCTAAAAACAACCCCAAACAGACTCATTGGTCATGAATATTTCGTATCTTCTTATCAAATAACAGCTTATATCAAAGGAGGCTGGATTCTGCGTAAGGCGTGGAAAATGTACAACAAGTGCCACAGTGACATCAGCCAGCTGCAGGAGGCCCGCCAGCGGAGGCCCTCGGCCCACCAGGAGTCCCTCTCCACGGACAACGCCAACCACAACGCGCCAGTGGAGAACTGCGTCACGGCCGAGGCCCTGGACCGGCTCAAGGGCTCCGTCAGCTTCGGCTACGGCCTCTTCCACCTGTGCATCTCCATGGTGCCGCCACACCTGCTCAAGATCATCAACCTGCTCGGTTTCCCCGGCGACCGTCTCCAGGGCCTGTCCTCCCTCATGTACGCGAGCGAGAGCAAGGACATGAAGGCGCCGCTGGCCACGTGAGTAGCTTCCGTTCAAAATGCTTTTTCCTGAAAAGACAACGGAGGGGGATTTTGACGCGTATCGAAGCTCACACATGATCATCATCCACCTCTGCATCCATTAATGCAGTTACAATAACTCAATAAGCGCCTTGTAACGGAAATGACCAATGTCTCTTTAAAAATATTACCCGTTACACATTTTTAGAAGGTCCCTGACTCACGCTGTTATATCATAACAGAGAACATTCCGGATGAGCGACTGAGGTGTCTGTCTCCCGTTGTGCTGCCCAGGTTGGCCCTCTTGTGGTACCACACTGTGGTGCTGCCTTTCTTTGCTCTGGACGGCTCGGATACACACGAGGGGCTGCTGGAGGCCAAAGCAATTCTGCAGAGGAAGTCGGTGGTTTACCCCAACTCATCGCTCTTCATGTTCTTCAAAGGACGCGTCCACAGGCTGGAGGTAACGTGCCGCCGCCGCCCAGGTTGCTGACTGATAGTTCACACATCAGCCGAGTCACTCCGCGTTCTCCTCTGTCCGCAGTGCCATATCAACAGCGCTCTGGCCTGTTTCCACGACGCGCTGGAGCTCGCGTCGGACCAAAGAGAGATCCAGCACGTGTGCCTTTATGAGATCGGTACGCGATCGCTCATCAGCGGTGTTGTGACGCGCCGACACCCAGCAGCTCATTCTGGGTCTCGTCCTTTCTTCAGGTTGGTGCAGCATGATCGAGATGAGCTTTGAAGACGCGTACAGGTCGTTCGAAAGGCTGAAGAACGAGTCGCGTTGGTCGCAGTGCTACTACGCCTACTTGACCGGAGGTAAGCTCGTCGCGCGCCGAATGTACCTCGCTTCTACTGTATGTATGTATGTTTTTAATCAACCCCCCCCTCAGTGTGTCAGGGGGCTTCCGGCGACCTCGATGGAGCAATCGGGGTTTTCAAAGAGGTGCAGAAGTTGTTCAAGAGAAAAAACAACCAGATTGAGCAGTTTGCTGTCAAAAGGGTGGGTTCGGCTGCAGATTCAGCCTCTTTTCTCGTTTTCAAAAAGTCGCCACAAGTGTGTGACAAAAGCCCCCTCCTGCCGACCCTTGACCCCCTCCCTCTGTCTGGCTCCCATCTGCAGGCAGAGCGATTGAGAAAGATCTCGCCCACCAGAGAGCTGTGCATCCTGGGGGTGATTGAAGTGCTGTACTTGTGGAAGGCGCTACAGAACTGCTCCTCGTCCAAACTGCAGATTATGAACCAGGGTAAATGTCACCTTCAGGTATCGCATCAACATGTGCAGGATGCAGACGCATCAGACGTCATGATCCTCTCCTCTTCACGCCTCTTCAGTGTTACAGAGTCTGGATGAGGCTTCGTGCAGAGGCCTGAAACATCTCCTTCTTGGTGCCATCCACAAATGTCACGGGAATATGAGGGACGCCATTCAGGTATCTACATTCCGCACGCCACACCCGGCCCCCGAGCGGCGGGGGCGGTAAAGTCGACGCTTTGAATGTCACTCAGCTTGCTCTCCTGTCCATTTCACACGCCGCCCAGTCCTTCCAGCTGGCCGCCAGAGACGAGTACGGACGGCACATCAACTCATACGTTCAGCCGTACGCCGTCTACGAGCTCGGCTGTATACTCCTCGCAAAACATGAGGTCGGTCTGCTGCACGCATGCAACGCTTGGATATTTATTCATCCACATGTTGATTTTGGATTATATCGAGGGAAACACATACTCAGTTATAATCTGGTCTTTTTTTTTTTTATTTCCATATCCAGACTCTGGGAAAGGGGAGATCGTTGCTTCTTCAAGCCAAGGTAAAACATTTGGAGAGCAATTGGCTAAATTAGAATTCATATGAATCTCCCGGATAATTGTGTAATTATATTATATATAATATTATAGACTGATCATCTACCTACCTTTATGCCTGTCTGTTTCAGGATGATTTTACAGGCTACGACTTTGAGAACAGGCTCCATGTCCGCATCCATTCAGCGCTGGCTTCTTTAAAGGAAGTCGTGCCTCAGTGACTCCGGGGAAGGGAAGCTACGATATCTCAAGCTACGCTCACGGGTCTTTACACCACTGACGTCTAAGCCATTCGAGATACACGTATGACGTCCCTAAGCCCAGTGAGATTGTTATGAAGTGTCAACTCTGTGCATCTTGGGATGAATTTAGATGAAAAATGGTTAGCCTAGCCGTGGCTAGCAATGCGAAATCCCTGGTTAACAACTGAAAAGCCATAATACCGGTAGATATCAGACATGTCTTGTTAGCCAGCAAGCTACTTGTCATGTCCACTAATGTTGAGACGAAGTAATGGACGCAGTTGACGGGGAGGAAAAAAACAGCTTAAACTGCTTGATGATTTATTCAGTTTCTTAGTATACTCAGTTCAAATACGATCTCCTCTGGGAAGTTGGAATATGCAATCTATTTTCAAGGCTTGCTCGTTCCCCGTTTGCTGCATCCAGCTAGGCTGAACTTGCATCGGGCCTATTTATGAACAAGATGCACAGAGGTGAAATTGATATCAATCAATGACTCTGGGCAGAACAAACAAACAAGCATATCTCTCCAGATCTCTGACTGTTCCTGGGTGTTTTTTTCTCCACGCAAAATCTACACCACGTGAAGGAAGAATTCTTGAAGATGGGTGAAGTTTTGGGAGTATTCCGTTAACCCCCCCCCCCCCCCCCCCCCTTCCAGTGAAATACGGTTTTTAATGAGGTTTATTTATTTCCCTTAATGATAAAATGTTACATTGAGTGACAAGAGTATTTGTGTTTTCACATTCTTCAAAATCCAGATGACAATTTACCTTTAAAAAGAATCACATTTAATGAGACCGACCAGGGTAATAATTCTCAGATATATTTTGAGATACAATCATTGAGGATTCTTTACCGGGGTGAGTTATATCACAAAGAAACAATGGAAATAAAACAACAAACTATGATGGGAGCTATTCAGATAAAACCCCTTACAGTCAGAACTTGGCCCCTGTGAGTGAGTCAGTGAGTCATATTCAAGTAGTTAGACATTAAAGCAACTGAGAAATCCCCCCACTTTAATGCCCTGATGATGTGAAAACACTGGGTATTGGTCCTGTGCACTATGCTTGGTATGGCAGTGTAAACAGAAGCTTTAAGACAACATTTAAGTCAATTATACCTGTATGTCCATCCCTGCAGATACACACATACGGTATTATAGTTCAGTACGCTCTGTACTGTGATGTTGCCATTCAAAAAGTGCTGTTAATTGTCAGCCAAATACACGTGTATTACTAGTTACTTAATTTAGTATTATTTTAGGGATTCGACCTCTTGAATTGGTCCATAGTAGTAACACGTTTATTTATTATTCAGAAGCACTTATGCCTGTGTCATTTACAGTACGCTATTTTGGTTTGATATTCTGTGACGGCCAGCAGCATCGGCACGATTCCAACGTATGACCTTAAATTGGACAGAAGATAATACATCTGCAAGGAGAGGGATTGTAACTAACTTTTCAGCAAAACAGTTCCTGTCCATAACAATCATCCTATTCAGGGTATTGCTTTTTATCAATGAGCACTAATTTTGTCATGCAAGCAATATAAGCAAAAGGAGGGGATCGTATAGTCATTTGCAGACACTTTCAACATTAACTCTCTGTGTTTCTCATCCCGCGTTCAGGGTTGTGGACGTAAAGATTCCTAAATGGATTTAAAGCGTGGTAAATGTTGGGGAGACCACTGCAATCTCAGTGCGGTGCAAGTGACGTGAAGGTGAAATGTCAGCAACTCCACCTTGCTGTCCCAAATTCTTCTGTCACTGGAAGAGTTTTTCCTTCCGTCATTAGTTTTTGTTGAAATTGGGGTTACATGTGTGAATGATGGTGTCATTGAAGGCTACAATAAACTGTTCCCCATTAATCTCGCCAAAATGTGTGGTGTATTTATTAACTTATTAGTATCTGTTTTCTCGACTATTTGTTTTGTTTTACGTAAAATTCCACTCATTTTAGAGTTTAATAACTACTTTTTCACTCCACTATATTATTTGACAGTTTTAGTTGTGATTATGTGTGAAAATTATATTTAAGAAATAATAATGATAATGAAATAATCAAGATGTCCATTATCTCATTGTTTTATGTGTATAGTATATTAACTCTTTTGCGTTAACAAACATAATACATATAGTGTAAATTGATAGGGGACATGAAACAGACTAGATGGACCACACAGAATATATTCACAACAGGCATTTGCTTTTAAATTTACTCCAAAACATGCCTTTTTATTTGCACTCATTATTAAGTATTAAGTATGTCTTGTAATACATTATTATTATTATTATTACAAGTATGTCTTGTAATACATTATTATTATTATTACAAGTATGTCTTGTAATACATTATTATTATTATTATTACAAGTATGTCTTGTAATAGCTCCAGAGAGTTTGGAAGGTATTGATGTTGTGGGTCCAGAGTGACAATCGTCCCAGATGGGATGACATTGTGTTTGTTGTTTGGGACAAGCAACACAATGCTGGCTGATGGATGATGATTCTTTTAAATGCTATTTTGGTCAATATTTTTTATTTACATTTTTGTCATATTTTAACCAATGTTTCTATCAACTTTTGAACAAGTCAATTAAATGGGATTTTTCAATCATACATACCCTGCAATGAGTTTTACGGTAGTCATTGTTATACATAATACACAATCCTTTCATTCCACACATCAGCTGGTATTTTACCAGCGATTGAACTGAGAAGACTTCAAACAAATATCCAGCAGGTGGTGGTGTACACTCAGAAATGGAAATGATGGAATTGTAACGGACAATTTGCAGTGTAGGAAGCTTGATGTTTTATTGTGAAAAACGCTTACGGTCCCGGATGTGTGGACAGCGTTGATGTTCCTTTTGATAACACAGAAACAAGTTAATACCAAATGTTTACAACAGAGATAGAAGTTAAGCATTAAGTAAGTACCGTAAGTGAAATGTATTTATGTAGCTCTTGTCACAGAGAAAAGTGCTTAACAAAGTGAGGACATAATAAGACAAAGTGGCGGGTCAATAAAAATACACCACGAAATGCACAATAGAAGCAATTGGAAACAGGTTTGTTACATTGATTTGACCCAAACGCCAGCGCCAACAAGTACGTCTTGAGCCGTTTTTTAAAACAAAGCCTCGTGCAGGCAGAACATTCCATAACGTGCCTCAAAAGAGGTGATTGAGAATATTAAAGTGTATCTTATATCCGAGTAGATAAAGCATATCAAGCTGCAGAAGAAGAAGAAACAAGTGTAGACAGCTGCATAAAAGGAGGCTCGAAAGACAATAATAGGTCAAATAGTACCCTAAGATTACGCAGGTTGGGACGGCTAACAGAGTGGAACAATAATCTGTTCATAGTTAACCTGGACTGGGACAAGGGCTGTAATGTCATTATTAAAAAGGCATTCAGTTAGAAAGGTTCAACGGCATCGTGTCGATCAAATTGTTCATCCATAATTTTTGACATAACTGACATCACTTGATGAGCGTCAACGTTTGGAAATAATATGCCAGTTTTTAACACATCGGTTCTTGTAATTGCCACTATATTAGATTGCTTAAGTGGACCATGTCCGACAATATTTCTGTTACAATAAAAATCTATACGAAATGAGATCATTACTCTTTTGATAAGTGTGTTGTTCCCCTGCAGTGGAAATGCTGACACAGTTCTACTAAGAGCCTCCTTCTCCTCCACCAAACCTCAGCGTGCACCAACAGGACCCTGCTGTTCTTTGTCCCCCCCCTTCCCCCTGCGGCTCGCTCCATTGATCCCTCCCTCTCTTCCAGAGATCCTCGGGCCGCTCATCTGGGAGGTGTTCATGGAGGTGTTCTCTGGAGCAAGCCTATACGGATCTTCCTCCACCTCCAGCTCCTCCACCAGGAGAAGACGGGACGAGAGCGACGAGGAGCATTATTTCTAAGTCTTACTAATAATGACATTTTGTTGGATGAAAAATGTGTGTACTTACACTGAATTTGAATGATTCTGTATTTTAACGTTTTTTGTGTGTGTTACCAATCTTTACTTTCCACCCTGAGCTCCTCCTGTAAAGGGTAGAACGAGCTCCTTGAGGCCAACACTTCAACTGAAGTCTTGGAGACGTTGATGCTCACAGTGGACCAAGCCAAGGACCCTCATGCCTGTCTTTTTTCGGAATCACAGTGCGGGACTCTTCCTGGGTCTTTGTCCTCCGTGGAGCTCCTGAGAGAGGACGACAACCAGAGCGCACAAAGCCAGCGGCGCGCAACCGATGAGGCGTGAGGAGGCTCCAGCGCCACAGCAGTGCCCTCAACACACCGCACCGCCTTCAGCTCCAGACTTTATACACAGGACTGCTTTGATGTTCGGTTTAATCATAAGAAATGATCCGATATGTAACATGTCGCACGCTCCACCCTCACTGACGTTGGGTTAACATGAACATTCTGCAGCAATCTGTTGAAGGCCACACGAGCAGCCAACCTGCTCCCAACAAGCAGAACCACTGAATGTGATGGATGCAGCAAATAAACCATACCATGCATCTTTTGAATGGGTTGCTTTTGCCAATCTAATATCAGTAAACAGCATTGCGTGTTTTTGCTTCTTCCCCCTCAAAAGGCCGTTTTCTGATAGTGTCGCTTCCCTTCATGGGTCTGAAGTATCTGTCGCAGTTCATCGTTCATGATTGTGGTGTTTCTGTTGAAGTGCCCCTGAATTTCCCCTGTTCAAGGTGCTGAAGCATCTGTGTCGCTTTCCCCCCTTCGGTAAACTCTTCAAGTTCCAGGTCGTTTTATACACCCCCCCCCCCGGTAAGGCTTACACGTTCACCTGTTTGTGAACGACTTGAACAGAATCAGAGCAGCGCAGAGATGAATGTATTTCCCACTCATCCTCTCTCCTCTTGAAAGCCGATAAAGGTGCAATCTGGCAACACTCGTGAAGCCCTCCCGTGTATCGGAAAGGAAGGAGCAACTTGAAGCTCGCACCAGAGCTTTGAGGCATAATCATGACACAATTAAGATAATTTTCCAACCACTGCTGGTGGCAAGAAAAGCAATTTTTACGCCTTGTAATCGAGTCTGGCTGTCAGATTAAGATAGCAGGTGATTTGAGGGAAATTGTCTTGGCTAACTCTTTGGAAAGGGATCCAGGTGGCCTCGGGTATCTCTCTGCCCATTGAGGCTGCCCGTGAGGTAAAGCGGTTCTGATTTTGAAAATTAAAGAAACATTTGGAGAGGGTTGGATTTGTGTCTGTGGGCATTTTGTCGCCTCACAAACCCGCCTCTGCTGCCGCATCTGCTTCTGCATCTTGTGACTTGAAAGAGCCCAGTGGCCCGCTATCTTTGTCTCACTTTCTTTCTCCGTTTCCCCGTTTTCTCTTCCACTTGCCATCCAATGACAAACTCGAAATTCAACACACACAGTTTATGAGATCACCACGTGCGGAGGTGAAAATCTGTGCAGGGTGTAAGCTGCTCACTGCTGATAAATTCATTAAATATAAAAAATAAGAACCTCCTAAATGCTTCAATGCTTGGTGTCAGTTCAAGGGAGGACTTGTTTA